TACACTACTACGGAATCTTATGCCCAGCTGAATCTCAGGCTGGCCTTAAACATGTTCAGTAACTGACCTCTGAAGTCATTGTCATTGTCATTCTTTAATTGATATCACAAAAATTGCTGCTGGTAAACAAAAACCCATATAGACATTTTCCCTGTGAAGGTTGCCAGATATTCTGAATTTCGAGGTTGGGAAGGAGCTGAAACGCACCTATTGCTATATGAAACACACCTATTGCTATATAACACTGCTGTGCACTGAACTGACATCATAAGGTTGTTAAGTTTAGCAAAGTACCCCAGTGCAAACCAGCAAGCTTCATCAAATTCGGTAGTTAAGTTGCTTTGGCAGTAGTAGCCTACAGTTTGAGTAGCCTTTGATGGTAAATAACAGTGTTGAAATTTAATAGTAGACTTACTTTCATGTAGTGGATGACATATTGTCATCTATACAAATAGTCAAAAGGTACAAACCCCAGCTAAAACCATTTTAGTAAAGAAGCAAATTTCAGACACCATACATGCCTTGGTTGATTTACTACATTTGGGGTAAGGGGATAATTGTGTACATTTGAAGTGCCCAATTATCGCTTTAATGCACTTCTATATCAATAAGATTCATTAATCATGGAAAAAATGATGTGCTGAAACATTAACTAATCTTCAGCACTGGCCTGCATGGTGAGAAAGCACCATGACAGCTGTAGACCGCAGTTTTAGGGCCAAACCCCTCGGCATGGCAGCAATCCAGACAGTATTTGTTTACAAGTGTTTCAGTAATTTGGCACATTAGGGAAGCCTTCACCTCCTGCGGGCACAGAAAACAGAGGGTGAGAGAGAGAGGAGGGGGGGATGACAGCCAACGGTTTCTTTGTTTTGTGCCAAATGGCTTCCCCGGATTGCAGCTCCCACACAACTACATTCACAAGACACGCAGCAGAAACAGTGCTGGGGTACAGTGAGCACTGGTACAAAACCAGAAACCTATTCTGGTCATAGGTTGACAAGGTTAAAGGGGAATTTCAATGTTTCTGCATAATTCAATCAATTTACTTCTCAATTTACATATTTATTTCTTGAAATAAGCAAATTTTATCAGCATTATTTTTTAAACAGTTCAGAGAAAAGTCTATACAGGCCTTGAATACTCATTGATGTTCCCAAACAAGTACTTGAATAGTGGTTCTTAATACCACTTATGAAACAAAATTTATGTTTCATAATTAACCAGCATTTGAAGTATATTTGATCATTTTTAATCAAAATATCCCAGTTATTATAACAGTTTGTAGCAAATTGTTTAACTCATTTATACATCCCTTTATACAATGGATGTAGGAAAGATGCAGAGACACAGATGTGCTATAACGTTATGTCAGAAATGGAGACAAATAAATCTGACTGCATTTTTGCTTACTTAGATAGCAGCAATTATAGCTCAAGACATGTTTTATGTGTTTGCAATGTCACTTCACCTGAATGGAGAGCCAAGTTCATATAGTCAAGTCCACAAATATTTGGGCAAAGTTATTATTTTAGCTGTCTACCTCAGTATATTGGAGCTGAAATTTTTAGGGGCTCAAATGCAAATGGACAAATTCTAAATGGTCATTTTTAATACTTGGTTAGCAAATCCTTTGCAGTCAATGACCACCTGAAGTCTGAAGCCCATACAAGCTCACCAAATGCCAGGTTTCTTCTCTAGTGATGCTCTGCGAGGCCTTCAATGCAGCACCATCCAATGAGTTTTAAAGCATTTGGCTCAATCTCAGCAGATAGTATAGCCCTACACACTTCACAACTCATCCTGCTGCTTTTGTCAGCAGTCCACCATGCTTAACAGATGAGGAGGTATGTTTTGGATCATGAGCTGTTCCTTCCTCTCTCAATACTCGTCTCCTTCCATCATTCTGGTACAAGCTGATCTTTCTCTCATTTGTCCATAAGATGTTCCAGCACAGGCTTTTTTTTGTTGTTTTTTTTGGCAAACTCTAATTTGGTCTTCATGTTTTGGGAGCTTATCAGTTGTTTACATCTGGTAAACCCTCTGTATGTACTCTGCTGAAGTCTTCTCTTGATTGTTGACTTTGACAAAAGTTTTTAAGTGTTTCTGAGTTCACCAGTGCTTTCTTTCTTTTTAAGAATGTACCAAAAAGTTGATTTGACCACATCTAATGTTTTGCTGTCTCTCTGATGGCTTTGTTCAGTCTAATATGATGTACTAACTATGACTAGTTGGGCATATGACTCAGGGGGTTGAAGCGCCTTGCCCAAGGTCATAACTATGAATACCCATTTAGTCCCTGGGATTTGATCCCACAACCTTCTGGTTGCTGGCTCAGACCTTATATTTCTGAAATGTTTTACAGGATAAGAATACAGAATGGAAGCCTTAACTTTGAATGGAAGATAATCTTGATTCTACATTTTTTTTTCCATTTAATTGAAACAATTTTAGAGCATTTTTATTGTTACATTCATCATAATTTTAACACACTATAAAGGGCAGCTGGCCTGTTAGAATTCTGTACAAACAGCAAAAATTGGATCTGTCCACAGCATAAATCCTAGTGGTTTCATGACATGCCTGAATATCACATAACCTACACCATTGTTGCACATCCACTTAAATCGTCCTTTAGGCCAACAACATGAACCCTTTAAGGTTCCACATACTAAAAATCAGAGTATCTGCATTCCCTCTGTAACCAGCAGCTCTGCCAGAGTGCTTTTACTCTGCTCTTCCATTACCTTGCTGCTTACCTTCCTACGCCATATTAAACAGATTAACAGAACTGCACTCTAGGGAGGAGGGAGGAAGGGAGCAGAGCTGCCAGTCACTCTCAGGTCCTGGTGTGGAAACGAGAGGTGCACGCATCACAGTGGACAAACCGTAGAGAAATTTCCTATTGAAAAATCCATAGGTGTTTATGTCCATCCTTCCACTGTGAGTAGACAACTCAACACTATGAGTCTGAAAGGATGTGTTTGGAATTACTCGCATTTTGAGAAGCTGAAGATGCAACCAACTTCTTAGACTGAACTTTGAAGGTATGGAAAAATATCCCTTAGATTTCTTTTAAATATAGTTTTGTATAGGACTCTATGTACTAGGTGCTTGAAACTTGCAACAGCTCCCACATAGTACATCAAACCCTTATTTTAAATCTTCCATGATAGGAGCCCTTTCAGCAATCTTTTTATTGTTAATACTTCAAATAGGCAACAGGATAGTCCCTTACACAAAAGATGGATCCATTTCACATACCCACTCTTACAAATCTGAGAGGAGCTGTCGAGGCCCTCGTGCTGCGCTGCAAATCACTCTCCCTTGTAAAAATCACAGAATGGGTCATTACATTAAACTGTCTTCTCTGACGTCCCATTCTCCCTCGCTGCCCTGAGGCTAAAAGAGAGAGAGAGAGATAGACACAGAGGTCTAATGGTCTTTAGTATTAGCGAGTTAATCGTCCCGTCCCGCTCTCCGCAGGCGGAGCCCGTTTTAGTTTAATTGTGAACCGTCCTGTTCCATAACCCCCCTCCCTGCCAGGCCGTGAAGCATGAAGGGAAGAGCAGGTCTTCACTAAGCCTCAGCTTGATGTTGCCCTTTTGTGCTGGTCCTAACCTTTAAAGGAACCTTCCACCTTTCAACCTTTTTTTTTTCCTTATTTTCAGAATCTTATTTTCTTATTTTTTGAAATCAATTGTTTTTTGTTTGTGAAATATATGCTACTAGTATATGCTACTAGTATATGCAACATCCATGCATCTAATGTTTCCTGCAAGTAGAAGAATGCTTCAATGGCCTAACATCCTTGAGTTACTGGGCAAACAAGAAATTACTATTTTTACATATAAACTAAAACAATTCAGAATAATTTAGTTTTTTTTTTTTGCATAATTGTTAATATTCTGCCTATAACAGCTTCAGTTAAGCTGCTTTTCCACTGCGTGGGACTGGCTCAACTCAATCTGACTCTACACTACTCGGCTTTTTTGGTTTTCCATTAAGCAAACCTGGTACCTGGTACTATTCTTGGTCTCACCTCCATCAAGGTTCAAGCAAGCGGAGCTGATACCAAAAGGTGACATAGAAAAACTGAAGACTACTGACTGGTCAGGGAGAACTGTCACAACTCCAGCTAACGTTGCATTGAAAATGATGTAACGACAGGGTTCTGTCTGCAGCGGCAAATGATGTAGCTGGTACCAAAAGCGAGTAGAGTTTAGTAGAGTCGAGTAGAGTTGAGCCATACCAAGCGGTGGAAAAAGCAGTTTAACTGAAGCTGTTATGGGCAGAATATCAACAATTATGCTAATAAATAATTACCAAAATTATGCTAAACGTAATATAAATGTAAAATAGTCATTTTTTGTTTGCCTGGTTTTACGTGTTCTTATGTCTAAGATCAAGTAAAGTGGAAAACAATGATGTAAAGAAACACATCACTACCCAGAACATTCAAAAAATGCACTGAGCAATAAAATAGTCCCAGGAAAGAAACAAAATTACATGTGTTCTATTCCTCATCAGGTCTTACTGCCTCATTGCAGTATATTAGTTTTTATAAGCAATGTTGCTGTATTGTTCTATGCCCTATGGAAGCCTATGGGAGATCACTCTGTATCTTTAAAAGAACAAAAATACCCCCAAGAATCATTTTAAAACTAAAAACTAGAAAAATGTAGGCAGGTCAGGAAATATCACAGGAGCCGTTTAAATCAAGCCCAGATCAGTAATGAAGGAAAAACAAGAAAGATAACATGGTCCAGTTCAGTTAGCAGACGAGCACTGATATACAGTGCCCCCTGCTGAAGTAACTAGTGTACTGCAGATGAAAGGTCACCGTTAGGATTGTCATCTTTAGGAGGAAAACATCTATTTTTTTAAATCTGTTTACAGCTCATTCTTAAATATGATAAGTAAAAGATGAAAATTGGATTTTTTGATTATTATAGCCCACAAATACTTGCACATGTGCAGTGATGACCATGTGTTCTCAGTTTTATCGTTATACATTTATTTTGATCTGCAATGCCATACCATCAAAAAATACTCACAAACATACTATATAATGTATAATGGTATTTTGAAAATAGTGTCCTCCAAGTTGATGTTTAGGTGAACATTTATGGCTAAAGTTCTATCATTTTCCGTTCAACTTTTTCCTTAACGGATGCAGTCAAACAACAAGCCAAAAGAGCAATCACCAGCCTTTGCCTTACGATCAATGGGTCCTCTCGGGCCCGCTGATGGCTAATTGATGAAATAATCCAGTCATTAAGCACTGTAGGGAGCAAATGGGAAGAGGTCCAAGTAAATAAACCAGCATTATCATCATCCTCAGCCTCATTATCATCATTAACATCAACCAGCTCTGCATGACGAGAGGATAGAGTGCAAGAGAATGCCTGACGAGAGAAGGAGAAAGAGAAAGAGAGAGAATTAGGGTCAAAAGGACAAAAAAAACTGATGTGATAACAACACTTTGATCAATTTAAAATGCCACTTTGCACACACTGGTATTACAGCAGGTACAACATGCAGCACCATCTGATCTACTCCTTAACAGAATTAGACTACATGCAGCACCAGTTACAGTCATATATCTACTAACCAATACTGTTGTAAATATTCTGTACATGTGGTTCACATATTGCTTTGTGGCTCTATACTGTATTTATATGTATAACTTATTCACTGTATTCTTCAGGGCTTCACAATATGGATACTAGTCTTCTGATTATATTACTGTAAGGGACGCAAATTGTGGCAAATTATTTTGACAGGTAACTGAGCGTCAGTGACCAGTAATTAAATATTAACTGGCAAGCCTAAAATTAAGGATGTGAAATATCAATTATAAAACAGATTGTTCCAGGTCTGAAGTCTTATTGATTGAGCCACGCTTGAAGCCATTGTAAAATACCTGATATACGCACACATCAACTAAAATCTCTATTAACGCACTGAGATATTAAAGCGTTTCTTGTATATTCTGCGGAATGTAATACCGATCAGTGGGGCCAGGCATACGTGTGTATATGAAGTAAATGGCCTGAATTAATTCAATTTTTAAACATACACTACATAAGAACCTGGTTCTGTTTAAACCGAGGGGCTGTGTACTGTTGTATGTTCATGATTATATGATACAAATACTAAAAGTTATACTAAAATGAAAGTACTGAAAGTTTTATATCCTAAAGTTCTAAAGTTATATTTCCCACTCATTATCATTAAAACAAATATACATGCCATGACTGGGCCAGTTTTGGCTCCGTGTAGCTCTTGAAAGCTGTCACCTTCCACCATGTCCTACTCTATTATTAGCCCAAGTTAAAACAAACATAAATGCCATGATCGAGGCAGCTTTAGCTTAATGTGGTTCTCAAAAGCTGTCACTGTCCACCACGTCCTTCTCTATGATTTTGCACATCCATGTGTGACCTCATGCTGCCGTGCACCACACTTTCTCTCAGAGAACACGGACGAAACAACTATCGGTCTGTTTATCAGCTGCAGATGTTTGCTTTCGATATAGTGCATTGTTGTAGAATTATCGTTCACCACATCGTTCACGTAAACACCACTATTTATAGCTGCATGCTTCAGTTTTCTGTAGATCTATCTAGCAAAATGAATCGTCTATTGTACATTCAATCCAAAAACATTCCTCAATGAATCTATTCAAACTGTTGTTTGTTGGAAATGTAATTTTTTTTTTTTGACCAACAGCATTGGTCAAACAATTGTTTAATTGCCAATTAATTTGTTACTCATTTCCACCCTTGATTACTATCCACTGCAATTGCAATATACTTTGAAACGGGGGTGGCCAATATGGCAAAAGTATCATAAGATTTTCACTTTACACAACACACATTACAATACTGACAGACGCAATGCCACATTGAAAAACTGTCACAGAAAGCTTTGGTACAACACTGCTGCATTAAAGTTGAACAATATAGTTCACTGAACTTCAAATAATAAGTAAACAGATCATAAAACACAGCGTTCTACATTTGAGTTCACTGAACTACTTACTATCACAAGTTCAGTGAACTATTGCAGCAGGTTTACTTGCTTTTTTGTTGACAAACTTTTTCTCCCCACAGTGAATCATTTTTACTCAACATTTCACATACTGTGCTGCACTAAATCTAATTAAACTGGACTAATTATGTTCTCTTTGTAATGAAACACAGTTGATCTGTGTTCTTTAAGTACCGATGATATCCACAGTGGGCAAAAAGGCACTATTCTTTATCATGATGATAAAATTGATCATGATAACAATAAAATATTAGCATATTATCCACCTCTACTTTGCAACATATTAAACTGCACTGGTGAATGAATAATGTGACATGGTTAAAGACTTGCCTGCATTATTTGCCAACATATAAAATACTTGAATTTTGTCGGATTACATGAACACCTTGATTCGTCAAAACACTCACACAAACACTAACCTGGAACTGAGATTGGTCAGGATGCTCAGAACACACAGTAAAAAGACACTGTGATTGGTTGGAGAGCTCATTTGCATCTTGCAGTGTTCTGTGTCAGTGTTGCAAGCACCAATTTCACCAGTATTCTAGTATTCTATGTTGTCCAATGACATAAGCCAATTGCATTGAAACAAACTGCAAGTGCATTTGGTAAATAAAACGATTCTGATTCCAATTTAATCTCTCTTTTCTTACAGATGTTGTCTATTATAAATGGGCATGTCTCCTTCAGCTAGCAGGCCAATCATTCAGGTAATTAAAAACAAGCAGCAGTGGAGCAATGAGAAAAGCTAACACTGATCCCAGGGCACCTGTGGCTACAGAAACGTTGAGCGAGTCCACAGCAGGGTGCAGGTCTCTTCTGGGAGGGATAGTGAGCAGAATATCACACAGCTGACGCAGTTCAGGAGACAAACCGAAACCTTCACCACCTAACAGCACACATAGACACAAACACAATCAGAGAACGACAGAACCAGCAACCAAACGACCAGCAAATGAAAGCTTACAGATACACTTTATGTTATAAAGCATTTTCAAAGTTAGTTGGTTGGTATGCATTATGGGGATGGTTGGCACAAAGTTCAGATGCTTTACTGTAATAAAAAAGTAACCAATAAACAGAAATGATTAGAACTTTAAATTAAGGTGACATTTGTCCATTATTAGCAAAATAGCATTTCTGTAACAAACATGAGGAAGCACTTAACATCTATCAGGCAAGTATCTCTTCAAGAAATTACTATAAGTAATTACAGTATTTTGTGATTTAATAACTTTTTGGCATTCCCAAGAACCTTCAAATGTTGAATAATACACCTTACAATATATTCTAGCTTTTAGTACTTCAATCTACTCTGTAATTTACTACTGACTAAAATAAAGATTATTAATTTGTGGGATTCTAACCCTTTTTTTTTTTTAACTCTACTGTGTGCCAACCAACCCCACCCACATTGGGATACAACTCAACTTACTGCTATCTAGTTAGCACTGTTCATCACAGGCTTTGGAAATATTAAAGTATATCCGATTCCTATCTACTAACTAAAATGAATACAGTCATAAGCAAAGTCTGCACAAACACCAAATACATATTTGATTGGTACAAGTGAACACAGTAAACATATCCTCTACAAAGAACACATTTAAATATGGCATTTTTCAGTGTACGATTTGTGTTTATTTGCTGGGGTTTAACATACGGGAAAAGAAAACAAAATATCAAATGTGCCATAACTTTTGTCATATAATTTTATTTTTTTCCCAATATGTTAAATTCAGCAAATGACCAGTAATTGTGCACTAAAACATGCAGAAGTGTGTTCTCTGTAGAGGATGTGTTAACAAACGTCTGCATAAGACTGCATAACGTCGAGGTTTCTCCTATTTTTAAAATGTCTATTTTTAAAGCGCTTTTTTGTGTTTTGACACAGAAAAAATTGAAATATTTGGGACACACTGGGCCTTCAGATGTCAAAGCAGATAAGTGTAGGTAAAGATGTCAAGATGTGCCAACCAACCAACCTCCCCTATTCTCATGTATGACATGCTTCTCACTGTTCAACACAAACCTAAAGGACACATACCCATCAGCAGCAATGTAGGTTTGGACATCCTGAAGTCGGAACATGACACAACCGAAGCTCCAGAAAAGGCCTCTTCAGACCCAACTGTGCCGACCGCCTGCCATCCCTGTTCCAGTTTCATCTGCCAAACCAGACAACTTAGTAAAGCAGCAGTTTGTTAAAAGGAGTATGACAACATCCCCTAATGGTACAATCTAGTTGATGCAGCTGGAACTTATAGTCTGGATGATGTCCTGTCCTGTATGACAGGTCATTCAGAGCCTGCATGAATAATGGTTAAGTGTAGATGTAGGTTGTGTGCAGGACATGACTGGTTAAAGTTATGGTCAGGTTTAAAGGCTGACCGTATAATGCACTGCACTTTGAAGCTATAGAAACTAGCCATTTACATGTGAATCAAACATTTGATTTCTGGTGTGTGTCTGACCTCTAGAGGCAGGAAAGAGAAGGGATATTTAGAACATGCTGAAAAGGGTAAAACAACTTCACCTTTACTATGTCAGCCAAGTTACTGTAGCCATACACGTCCATGAGCTCCATCACCCCTGAACTGGCTTTGCTCACCACTGGGGTTAATGGACAGCTGAAAAACAGAGGGAACATGTTTGAATGCATTATAAGTCATATTTAAACAAATTCAGAGACAGAGGTGCATCGGAAACAGTTAATAGGGCATTCCAACCAAAATGAAAATCATCGCGATTTAACAATTTGTTGTAAACATGCCTAATCACCTCCTACACTGGAGCCACAACAGTCACAAGAGTGAAATTTTCTGGTTTAAAGACTCAGAAAAGCCACCTTCAGATGATGTATCCTGAAGGTTGGGTAAATTTTTGAAAAACTACAGAAATCACGCTGGGTACTTTAGTGAGAGAGGATGTGGCTAAGGGACGCAATGCTGGACTACAGAGTATCACAGAACAAGACAAATGACATTAAAAGCTAATTTTAGGTCACAATGCTTGAAGAGATTAACGCAGTGCACTCTGACTTCATTAACTGACGAGTAGTGCCAGCAATGTATCAAAAGTATCAAATGTGTCTATCTAGCTTTTTTAATACTACAATGTGGTGAACAAGTCACTGCTCTTAACTTTCGACACTGACTCTTTATTTAAATAAGCTAACACATCACTGATCTTGTACTGAGCTTATCAAATTGCGCATGCAGGCTCATATTAGCAGATTAGTGACCACATGCTTCTGGAAACAATCGACACATTTTGTATTTGAAAATTCCACCAATTTCTCAAATTGTATGTATGATTATATCATTCAGATGTAAAATTCATTCAGAGTTGTTTGATGTGAAATACTCTATTGAAGAGAAACTTACAAAGTTAAAACTGTGTACAGTGGTGGTGACAGGAACTAGATGTCCCAAGAGTTTAACACATCTATGAATATGTTGTCTGAAGCCTGAGACACTGTTATATGATAGTTTTGAGTTTTTTCAGCTTTAGGCCTTAAGTGTATTTCTTAAAATCTGTTCATGGCAGAGAGGCAAGTTTTCTGTAAGGCAAAATAGTTTACAAAGAAAACTTTCTTTCTGATTTACCTTTTTTTTGGTTCAGCATTACATATAAAAACTCAGAGGGTTCACTGGTCATTTTGGACTGCCAATAAATTGTCTGTATTTATGCTGTAGACTTCAACAACCCTTGTTCCTATCACCACCACTGTAAAGAAATTTGAGTCAGTAAGTTTCTCTACAAATGAATCACTTCACATCAAAACACTGTGAATGATCTCAACAACTGAATTATGCTTACATTATGCAGACGATTTGAAGAACTGGTGGAATTAACCTTTAAATTCAGGCTGATTAATGTAAAGCTTTCCTGTATGTACAGTCTATGATGCCAAGTTTAAATATTTAAGTTAGTCATTTCATACAGTGCTGTGAAAAAGTATTTGGCCCTCACCCAGTTTCTTCTATTTTGCTAATTCGTCACATTTAAACGTTTCACAGCATCCAACTAATTTTAATATAAAGATAAAGACAACATGAGTAAACACAAACCTAATAACTGGTTGTGACACCTTTGGTAGTAACAACTGCAATCAAACATTTGCGATAACTTGCAATGAGTCTTTTACATCACTGTGGCCCATTCATCTTTGCAGAATTGTCCTAATTTGGCTACATTGGAGGGTTTTTGAGCATGAACTGCCCGTTTAAGTTTTTGGCACAGCATCTCATTGGGTTTCAATTCAGGACTTTGACTCAGCTGCTTCTAAACCTTAGTTTAGTTTCTTTTGAGCCATTCAAAGCTGGACTTGCTTGTGTATTTTGGATCATTGTCCTGCTGCATAACCCAAATGCACTTGAGCTTTAGGTCACAAACTGATAGGTGGACATTCTCCTTCAGGATTTTCTGATAGAGAGCAGAATTCATGATTCCATCAATTATGACAAGTCCTCCAGGTCCTGCAGAAAAGCAGTACCAGACCATCACACTACCACCACCATGTGTGACTGTTGGTGTTAGCTTTATACCAGATGTAACAGAACCCATGTCTTCCAAAATGTTCCACCTTTGACTCATCAGTCCACAGAATATTATCCCAAAAGTCTTGGGGGTCATCAAGATGTTTTTTTGGCAAATGCAAGACGAGCCTTTGTGTTCTTTTTGGTCAGCAGTGGTTTGCACCTTGCAATTCTCCCATGGATGCCCAGCGTTTTTCTTATTGTGGAATTGTGAATATTGACCTTAACTGAGGCAAGTGAGGCCTTCAGTTCTTTAGATGTTCATCTTAGTTGTTTTGTGACCTCTGGATTAGTTGTCGATGCCCGCTTTGTGAAATTTTGGTAGGCCGGCCAGTCCTGGGAAGGTTCACCACTGTTCTAAGTTTTCTTCATTTGTAGATAATGGCTCTCACTGTGGTTCGCTGAAGTCCCAGAGCCTTAGCAATGGCTTTGTAACCCTTTCCAGACTGGTAGATTTCAATGACTTTGTTTCACATCTGTATTTGATTCTCTTTACAACGTGGCATCATGTGCTGCTTTTTGAGACCTTCTAGCCTGCTTCACATTGCCAGACAGGTTCTATTTAAGTGATGTGATTTTTAGATTCAAGAGGTCTGGCAGTAATCATGCCTGGGTGTGGATAGTGAAACTGAACCCAGTAGTCAATTGAATTAGGTCAACAGGGGGCAGTTACTTTTCTGGCTGAACAGCATTTTTCCTTCAATAAATCATAATTTAAAAACAGCATTTTGTGTTTACTTGGATTATTTTGTCTAATATTAAAAGTGGTTTGATGATCTGAAACATTCAAGTGTGACAAATATGCAAAAACTAGAAGAAACTGGGAAGGGTGGAAATACTTTTTCACAGCACTGTACATATGAAGTTTAAAGATGTTCGCAACAATAAAAATTCACCAAATGAAAAAATACGAACTTACCTGTTCTGAATGCTACTAGCTACTCTGTCCACTCCGAGAAAGTAGGCAGAGCGTAGAATAGAACCAAGGTTCATCGGATCCTGAACTCCGTCCAGGACAAGCCACAGTGGATGAGGGTGTCCACCATGCTGAGGTCTTGTGGGTTTCTCTTTTGTGATGAAGCCTAGAGGACTTGCCTGAAGGCACACCCCCTGGTGGACCATTCCACCGGTCATCTTGTCCAGTTCCCTCTTACTGACCCGCTGGATTGGAACCCCATGTCTAAGAGCCTCCTCACAAACCCTCTGAACGGCTTCTCTCGGACGTCCTTCACTGCTCTTCACAAAGAGACAATTGGGTGTCCTCCTGGCCTGACTTAAGGCCAGTAAACATGGGGCCACCCCAAACACCATGTCATGTTCTTTGGTTCCTTTGACCTGAGCAGTCTTGACCTTCTGGGTGCCCTTGTTAAGTTTTTGAGCTTCTGCTTCCGTGAAGTCCTCCAAACTGAGCTTCTGCAGTTCAGATGGCACTCTCCTCTCAGGGTGAGATGCTGGGGGCTCTTTTCTTTGTGGCCTTTTTGTAGAAGGAAAACCAGCAGTCCTGGACAGTTTACCAGAAGATGTAAAAAGACTACATCTCAGCCTTTCAGCAAGTTTCAAACCAGTGTCTTTTGGAATAAGAAGAGGTTTGGTTGAATGATAAGAAGCATATTGTGTTTCACCACAGTAAAGAACTGTTAATAACTCCACTGATCTGCTATTCCTAATCACACTGGAACACCTACAGGCTGCTCTCCACATTTTTAGCTGGGAAAAGGTAAACATAAGAATGAGTGACAGTAATAAAATGTGTTAGCTGTCCACTTTTCAAATCTGAAGGAAGGTTAAACAGCCTGTAAATGTATCTCTATAAGCGCCAATGTGGTTAGCTGTTAGCTACCAATTAGCCCTTCACTATCAGTAACGTTTACGGACAGACATACAGACACATTCCAGCAGTCGTCAAAATCTGATATTATACATAAAAAGGAACATATCTTTGTCTAATATACTCACTAACCCACTTGCTGGCTGCCTAAGCTCGCTTATTATTCAGGCTTAACTAGCACACATGTGGGGAAGATGTTCCGGGGTGCCGTTCCTAGATCAGTTGTAGTTATTGGGCGCGTCTCAAATCGACTCCTTGTCCCCTATGTAGTGAACTAGTGGTGCGTTTATGGCGACTGGGAACTCGGAACTTTGCGCTTCCCTCCTCAAATAGACCCTCGGAAGAATTGAATACTCACAATTAGCCAGCGCTTGTTTTGCTGCCGTGCTTGTGCAAAAAGCTTTTGAAGGCTTTTACACTACTGCTATAGTGGATGCAGGCTTTGGCAATCCACCGTGACATTTCTTAGTTTTAAAGGTCACTTGACAGCGCAGACTTTATTTTATTTCATTTTTTATCGCGATTTTTTTATTGCAGTTTTCAAAAACAAGCATTTAAAGATTAATAAGCACAAAAATTTTTAAAAGAAAAAATTTTAGGCATTTATTATTTTAAATTGGAACATATTTTTGAAACAGATTTTTCTAGGGTTTTTCTAGATTATTTATCTAACAGTACTTAACAGCGAGGCAAAGTCAATTACAAACAGGTCGTGTAAAATTGTGAAAAGTGTGTGTGTGTGTGTGTGTGTGTGTGTGTATTTTGTAGCCTATAGGTTAAGTGTTTTGCCCAACATTAACCTTGATAACCAATGACCTTAAGTTTACTCATTTTATCTTAAGTTTATGACGTTCCAGACAAAGTAGCTGACACCAAAAAATATAAAAATGTCCTTTATGGCTTAATCAGGTTGCTCGCGCTCAGTTCTCGTTCCCTAAACGGGTCGATTTGAGACGCACCTATTCCCTGTGTTTACGTCGCAACTGTGTGAGTGGAGCATGCGCACGAGCCACATGTAGTTCACGTTACCAAGCAACAAGACGCTGTTCTTAAGGTTAACCCGTTAGTTTAGCGGTTTGTTATTATCCCTCAGTAAAACGCGCCTGTGAACTGCATCTGTTTGACGATACTATGGTGATCCGTGCCGGTGGCTGGGGATAAAGCTACATTCTGCACCTGTTCAGCTTTCAGCAGTGATGCTGTGTTATTTTCCTCTCTGCGCTGTTTCTCTCTACGCGGTAGCTAACTAACGTTAGCCGCGTGCACTGCCGTTAATCCAGCGAGTAAAAGTAGCTGGTATGGCTGAGGTGTGGTGCACTGACACCGGGGAAGCCGTCTACCGCTCCCGCGACGCGGTGAAAAACTTTAGGATAAGGTATGTTAACGACTCCAGACAATGCAGATACAAGCATGGTGTATTTGCTAGCTACAACACCAAAGAGCGTTAGCTCAAAGCTAACTAGCTACCCAGACAGACAGCATTGGTAGCTAACACTTGTAGCGGTAGCTAAACGTGCTTATCTTGCGCAGTTCTGAAAAAGTAACTTATTAGCTTTAAAAGCGCTTATTTTGGGATTTGGAGGAGAATGGAAGTGAAAATGTTTCGGAAACTGACGAAGCTGGATTCAGCTTTCTGTTCGCCAGCTTCTTCTTCGAATTTTACCGTTCCACCTTAAGTGGTGCAGTAAGTTCGTTATTTTTTATAACGCCACGGCGCCAGAATGTAACTGCTGCACCATTTAAGGTGGAACGGGAGAATTCGAACAACAATCTGATTTCAGCCTCGTCGGAAACTGTATGAAACTGCTGACTTCTATAACACCCAATATTTTTGAAAGGTTTAAACTACTATGGCCACAAATGTAGGGTATTGCTAACTATCGAAGCCTTTTATGTATTTCAGGCTAAATATTAGCTAATATTTCGCTGTGTATTTAATAGACGGTCACTTAAAATGAACAGTCCAAAAGTGCAGGGGAGAAACGATGCCTAAATTTGGTCAGTGATAAGAGTCACCAGAGATACATTAGACTATTCCCATTATTACTATGGGTTTTTGGTGTGTAAACGATTGTATGTCTCTTTTTAGGTGAGCATAGGAAGAAAGTGTCCTCCTGGAAAAGATATCAGTGCAGCTCTCTGATGGGACTGTATGGGCTTTACAATAGGACTGCATTTTGGAGAAAAAAAGATTTATTCAATAAAACAATGATTACTCATGTGGTGTAACAGTATATTAACAGTATAATAAACATACACCTCACGTTTAGGTTCCGGGTGGTTACATCTCTTATTGTTCAGTGTGTGATTGAAAAGGTAACTAGACCTACTTTTGTGGTACAGTCTCCCTAATACATGTCATATTTAGTGTTTTTCTCTTGCAGTGGTGCACAAATAGCAAGAAGACTGAACATGCAAAGGAAAGTTTTAAAAGCACTGATACAGGCATTTGATTTCTTGGAAAGGACAAGCACTAAGAGTCATTTTAAAGGGGAATACCCATAGTATTTCAAATTTTTGTAGAATTACATTGTTGATGTGTAAACAAAGTCTTTGAGAGGGCTTTGGTTTGAAATGTTTTACTGTACAGGAATGTAAGGACTGATTTCTTTACAGTGGTGGTGATAGAAACCAGGGATCTCGATGTCTACAATGCAGATATAGCTATTTAACTTTTATTTTTTTACTATGCAAAACCATCAATGAACCCACATGTGTCTTGTTTTAATATGTAATGTTGATCATGGAAAAGAAGGAAGTTTTCTTCAGGTGCCATATTTTCTTAAAACACTCTGCATGTGCCTCAAACAGCAGAACATTTAACAAATTAAACAGGGTATAGATTCAGCGCTTTTCTTGTTTTATTGCAAAACAGACTTGGTGATGGTTAACGGTTGTATAATGTAGGAGTCTTTTTCGATGGATTAGCACATTCATGCTGTCATCAGCTTGTGTTTATTAGTGAGATAGTGGCATTTATTTAAGTCAATTCGGATTAATTTATTGCATTATTAACAAGTTCATTTGGGGGCATTTTGTGTCCCTTTTTTGTATATTAAGCTGCAAAAATGTTGATTATGGAAATTTTGTGTTTTGTTATTTCTAATGCCGACTATTCCATTTGCTCTGTTGTAGAGTCAGAATCCAGCGAGTGACCTCAACAGCAGCCCTCTCACACCATCTGCAGCAGCAAGTGTTGAGCCAGCAGGAGCGAGGCGTCATCGAGCTCAACACCTTTGTCTCTCAGTCGCGGTCAAGTGCAAGTATGTGATGAAAAGGAGAGAGAATATACTGAAGTCTATCACTGGCTGCTAAAATACCTGTGCTTTATCACTTTTCTTCTCGTTTAGCTGGCAATGAAGAAGAGCTGGTGGTGGGCTGGCAGGAGAAGTTCTTCAGTCAGGTATGAGTTCATGAAACACAGTGTTTTGTGAATTTTATCCACTGATGCTATATAGATTTTTATTGTCACCTGTATGTAGTATGAAGTGGACCTGTACCAGACAGAGTCTGTGTGCCAGACTCCCCTGGAGAAACAGTATCATTCAGAAATCGTGGCAATGGAAAAATCTAAAAAAAGAAGGAATCAGCGTATTTTCACTTACACAGACTTTGATCGCTTCACCAACTGGGAGGAGGTGAGTGTTGCCTCCTGCATGGAAACCTTTAGAAAAGGTTTCATAATACAAAGATACATAAAATTAAGTATAATTTTGAACACTGGTCTTCACATTGTGATACTGGTTTTTCAAATAAGATTGGCCATTTTATTGGGTGCACCTAGCATGTAGATACTCTTAATGACTGTAGCCCACCTGTTGATGCAAAATATATCAGCCACCCTACCTGGTCTGTCAGTGGAGAGAAACCTCCAGAGGACCACTGCTGACAAGATATTATTTGTTTGGAAGCATTCCAGTGTATGTAAAGTGTATGGGTTAAATGTGTTAAATGTCGACACTGCATAGAAACCGCATACAGTTCATAATATGTGTTAATTGTGTGAGCAGCAGGCCCAGAGTCTGATGACTCCAGCTCAGACCAGGCCCACCTTACTAGCAGACCGCATGGCAAACATAAGACACAGACGCCAAGAGAGACGCCCAGTGTAAGTAGAGTTCTCTCATAATCATCATCCTAAAGCCCCAATTTTGTCTTGAAGGGCCAAAGTACAGTGTTTGGGCCAAAAGGGCCAAAAAAGTAGTTGGGCTTCAAACTGAGTTAATTTTTAACATGCACATGATACTTTGTTACTAAAATACTTCAAAAATACAGAATTAATAAGCCATATATAGAATGAAAATATATTTGTTGTCCTATTGGGTAATGGTGTGGGGTCCAGATGGTTTACAGTATAAATTACTGGCCAGTATAAATTGTGCTCATTTTCACAAAAATACACATTTTGATTCTAAATCCCATTATGGTTTTTGTGTTTTTAGAGACACCAATGTTCCCAAGACGCGTTTAGTAGTATGGGAGCCGTCCAAAGAATTTATGAAGAACAGCCACATTGTCAACACACCAATGCAGACCATGCACATCATGGCAGACCTGGGTCCAGTTGGAAAGTGAGTTAAACAACACAGCACATTCTGTGTAACTTATTTGATTTGCTTTTATAGATTGCAGTGTGTGTATCAGTAGTCCAGCTCGTTTGCAAGCACTGGGTTTTTGGTCACTGTTTGTGTTTCTGTTGGTTTTACAGACTGGGGTTGAAGGAGAATGAATATGTCTTGTGCACCGTAAGGGCAGACAGCAATGGAGTAATTACAGTGAAACCTGATTTTAACAACAACAGAGGACCCTATAGGCAAGTCAACCTTTTTTTCCCTGTCCATGGAAAAGCTTGAAACACCATTTAACAAAGCCATTGGGCAGGTGCTGAATTTTTTTGAATAAACATACGACTGTATAAATCAAATGTTATATAGTTGTTAAAGGGCATTAGGTTGAGATGAATGGAAAAACAAATGCTCTTCTTCTATCCATTTTTGAAGGATGGAGCAACACAGTAAAAATTGGTTACTTTCCCTTCCCTTTCACTTTTCCCTTACACTTTTTCTTGGATCCGTTGGTTTAGCACTCAGTCAGGAACTTGTGAAAACTCCACCCTCACCACTACAATTTAAACATACTATCAAAATTCTTTTGTCTGAAAAACTTAAATCCCAGAAAGAATGAAGAAAAAATCCCAGAAAGAAGAATTATATAGATTTACAGCTTAATTTGCAAATACTGTAGACGGATTAATTCTTGTAAGCGTTCTTCAAAAAATATCTTAAATTAATGTTTACTGAAGAAATTTAGTGACTGCCATATGGCTTCTGGTATAAGTCAGTGGGATTTTATAGGGACATTTATCAAAATTTTTACCCATGTTAATGGACTACATGCTATAAATGCTGATACTGCTGCTGTTCAGGCACAGATTGTGTGCTTTTGCTCAACACCAGGCTGGAGACGGAGGGAGAAAAGAGAGAGGTGTGGCGTCTTTATCTGGAGAATATGTCCGCTCCCATTCCTGTAGAGGAGAAACAGCGAGAGCAGCGCATGTACAAAGATGTAAGCATTAAGAAAAAAAAACATCTTCTGTTGAGTGAATAACGTTTAGCCTTTGGGAGTCATGCCATGTACATTATAGGCATCTGCCACGTCTCTGGAGGTTTCTGAAAACACACAAGACAAACATTACAATCAGTTATATTGCCTGAAATAGGGAGCTGATTTTAGAGTGCTAAAAATTCAGATAATGATAATATTGAATATCGGCCAATAGAATTTATTCTCCAATAGTGGTAGTTAAGCAGTGGTTTACTGAGTGATATGATGGTCAGTTCATGTTTTCTTAAACTCAGACAACACAAACCTCAATATATATTGTAGCACTGGGGTTGGAAGGTTTAGGTTACATTTCACATGTTTTTGTTTTTTGAATCATGCTGGTGTCACCAGTTCAGCCTGTATTGCTCACATAGTTAAACGGGGGTGCCTTATGTCGGTAACTCCAGTAGTAGCTTGTTTGTGGTTTAGCCCTATAGCTGAGAGATTGTGGTTCAAATCCCTGCAATACAATGACAAAAAAGTCACTAATTATCAACAATATTTTTGCAGATACTGATTATTTATTAATGAGCAAGTAAAGACAGTAATGATGATGAAGTAAAACTGAATGAAATGCATATGTAATTAAACCTTATACTTTTAACCACAAAAAAAACAACCCATCTGAGTCCTGGTGTGTGGTCATCACATGTGACACAGCAATGACAGTGCATAAGTTGACATCATGATATCAGCATTTTTAAACTGTAGACATTTAGTCAAACTTTCAATGTCTGTGTTAATAATCTCTCGAAAAATAAACCTCATAAACTGGCTCTTCTCTCTTCAGCTCTACAGTCGTCATAAAGATTACCTCAACAGCCTAGTTGGGCAGGACTTTGAAATGGTAGGAACCATATATATGACTGTTCTTCATCTAAAAGTTGCAATGGTTTAATTTTGATTACTGTAATACTGTTCGCTCATTTAGACACACATCTGCCTCAGTTTCATCAACCACATTTGGTAGTCATGAGTGCACTTGATGTATTTTGATAAAAATGTAATATGTAATATTCTGATTTTTATATATGTTCAATTGCAGCCACCCCCGGGAATTCTCCGCCTGCTGGTTAATGGAGAGATAGGTGAGCATTAACAGAACAGACATCTTAAGAACAGCATGGCCAGTGTATTTCTGCATTGATATATAAAAGACTAATTATTCTTGTTTTTTGTTTCACAGTTTCTGCTCAGGGCTATGAGTACGACAACCTGTATGTTCACTTCTTTCTAGAGCTGCCCAACAGTGAGTGAGCTACACCTCACATTAGTATACACTAGTGTTCAAAATTTTGGAATCAGAGATGGTTTGATATAAAATGGTACATTTTAGAGAAACATACCAACTCAGATTTCTCCACAGTGGTGATAGGAAGGGGTCTACAACACAAATATAGTCATTTTATTTTCTACCTAATACATCCACTGAACCCACATTCCTTCTTCTTTTTACGTTATGTTGAAAACAACTTTTCTTTTGGAGGTAATTTATTTTCATTTGGGGACAATTATGGCACCAGCATGTACTTCCCCACCCTGAATGTATTTTAAAAATATGTTTTAGGACAAACATTTATTGCAAAACAGTGTCTGAGACAATGTTTTAATAACCATTTTATGTCAGTGGTCACCAGAGTTTTGTTCTAGCCAGCATCTAGTACTGTGTCTTGCCTCCCCTTACCTAAGACTAATGCATCTGAACCAGCCATTCAAGGACTCCTGAAGAAGGTAATTAGCTGTAGCAGATGTGGCAGATTGTGGCTGGAACTAAACTCCACATAAAAGTAAATGTCCAGGACCAGCGTTGGTGACCACTGCTGAATGTGATGTAGCAAACACTTAATAGAAAATAGATTCCAAATTTGTGAAAGGTGGTGCAATGTCTTAAGGAATTTGTGTGCTCCTCAGGCTGGTCCAGTGTGCCGTTCCAAAGCCTTTCTGGTGTGACCCAGACATGCCGGACGCGTACGTTAGGGAAGGTAAGAATCAGATCACAGACTGTGTAAATTTACTGTATAGGCTGCTGATTCACATAATGAGTAAGAGAGGCCTGACCCAGTCATGTACTCTGTGTCCAGGAGAATGTGGCTTTTTTCTCCTACCCCTTCAGCTTTGAGTCCTTTTTCAGGAAAGAGGATGAGTCAGAGGGTGAGATTTTCTGCTTTTTAAAATCATGTTTTGAGCCAATGGCTTTGGAATTTTATAGTAAATCTGATTACATAGTTTTCCCTTTTCCCTAATGTAGTCATTCATCCAATCAGCAAGTTTTTGCTCTACTGTTTCCTAGAAAATGGGCAAAAGTATGTGATATAGTTAAACATAAAAGTTTTAGCCACCTTAAAGTTTGAATTTTGTTTGCCATTTTGTCATTTTTTTTATAAATACAGAATTTCATACAGTGTCAGAAACCACTTAAGCAAGCCTATTTGAGGTTGCTCAACAACTCAACATGGTTTAAGGCAAGTGTGTGATAATTCAAGCATGCAGTTTGTATGATACTGATTTGTATGCTATAAGGTTAGCTACATTAACTTTGTAGCTGCAGTGCAAAACTAAAGAAGCAAACGTCAAACATGCCCTGGCTGATCGACTGCATTTGGAGAAAAGGGATAACTGTTTAAATTGTTTATTTGCCAGACTACTCCTTTAAAGGGCCCACATCATTATTAAATAATAGTTTGATATAGTATATAAGCACAATACAGGACAGCCAATCAGAACAGATCTCATTTACATATATCAGACTTAAAGAAAAAAATATGAAATCGTAGAAAAAAGAAGGAGTTGGTATTGATCTTGATTTTTTTTTTTTGTTTGTTTGTTTGCTTTGTTTTTTTGGGGTAGACTCACTACCGCAGTGGCCAGTGCTATACTTCAAGGTTCTGTCCCTGGATTTCTGGCAGCGCCATAGAACTGAGGGCTATGGTTACCTAGTCGTACCCTCAACACCTGGTAGGACCTAAAAACTAAAATTACTGTATTAATTTGAAAGGAGAAGGGGACTCCAAAACAGAAAGTGTATGTATACCTGTTTGTGCATGCTGTCAGGGTACCATAGAATGACATGCCACACATGGAGGCCCTTACAGACAGGCACGGTGGCAGAACTGAGACGCTTCTTTATCGGTGGAGCTCCTGAACTGGAGGACATCAGTGATGTGAGGATACCGGGAACATTCAAGGTCAGTCAGACCAATAATGTCCACTGATGAAACAGATGCAATTCATCTAAAATGGATAGCATAAGACTGGAGAACAGAGGAATTACTGACATTTTGTAATTTGTATCTCATTTATTTTTCCAAGGGTGACCGACTGAGCCGGTTTGGCTTTCGAACACAGACAACAGGAAGTGTCACTTTTAACCTCAACTGCATCCAGCATGCCCGGTTAGCTAAAGGAAACACTCAGCAACATCGTTTTTGCTTTTATGATTCCAATGTTATTCTGATTTGTAATAAGTATGTTGCTGTTTTATTACAGGGCGTTTGTGGACGCCAGCACTCTGAAGAAGAGGCGGCAGACTGTTTTAGACCAGCTAGGTGGCCACAGTCAGCAGGGATCTGTCTATAATGTGCTAGGTAATGTCTGAGATCCAAATACCTTAAAAGGGCCCATCTCATAGAAAACCACATTTTTCTTCTTTTTTTAAATAAAAGAATTTGATAAACGATGTAAATGTAACCTTTACTCTATTCAAAAATAGAAACTAAGCTGCAAGAACAGTGGATACTGAATGTATCCTTGTGGCTATGTCACATGTTTAAATGACTGCAGCCTTACAAAGGATCCACTATGGCAGAAGTTTATCTTCTCTGACATCCCTGAGAATTTCTGTCTGAATTTAACAGTTCATTTTGTACATTTCAGTCCAGACCTTTTCAGTGAGGCACGATACAGGGCACCCAATCACAGTAATAAAAACAGCTTGTTAAATTCTAAAACTTGAAGTATGCTTCAAACCATGAATAAGCTACATGAGATTGACCTACCGCTGAACACAGTGTTGTAAATATACTCGAAAAGAATGTAGTGAATGTTTCGCACCGCTAGAGGCTCCATGCAGTGACACAGGCAACCATGTGACACCATGTGGACCAGTCACAGTCAAGGGGAGGTCTCAGAACAAATTCTGTGGTGATTAGGAGTTCCGTTTAGCTGCTGGTGCTGCCGTGATGTCTTGCCTTAGAAAAGGGATAGTTTGGGGAAATTGTCATTAAAATTAAATACAACTGTTTTAAACCCATGAAAAAAGTTGGACAAATGAAAAATGCCCCTTTAATGCACTGCAGTACTGAGCTCATCAAATAATGCTCTGTGTTTGTGTGTGTTTGCATGTACAGAGGCATTTCAGAGGGCTCGTAAGCGAATGCAGGAGGCCAGAGAGAGTCTACCCAGAGATCTAATTAACACCACTGTCCCACTCACCTCAGAGTCCTCAGCATAGGATCAGGTTTATGCAGGTCACTAAGATGTGCAGTACTTTATCTGTGTATATATGTAGTTTGTGTAAAAGTAAGAACATTTTTTTATCTAGATTTGATACTGTATGTATTATATAATTTTTTTTCTACTTCAGCTACATCATGTTTTTTTTTTAATGTTGATGCTTCTTTTTTATGTGTTAAATGATGAAAGTAAACTATGAAATAACATCTGCTGTTGTCTGGTTTTATTAAATGCTAGTTGAAATTATGGAAACACAACATTGTAACCAAAAAAGACCAGTATTACTGATCAAGAAGAGACACAAGGTACTTGTGCAACAAAAAATAAACAGCAGGGGGTGCCAAAATTTCCACCACATGTTATCATGGTTACAAGCATCTTACGAAAGAAATGATTTTGGAGGTATGAAAGTTACTTCTTTGGACGTACAGTATTTCTTCTTCTGTTTAAAGTTTTAGTGCCAATGAATTTATATTAATTTATTCATTCAGTTATAGGTTAAACTTCATTGTGTGTGATCTGTGCTAATCTTGTAGTTGATATCCAACATAGAAGATGTTATCAAGGCATGTAAGTACAATGCTCAGCATTTAATTTCATTCTTACAGCAACTGGTCAATATATTTGAGTAAAATGCATTTTGACTCATTTGAAATAGAATTAAATCTAGTTGCCATGAGAATTGCCTGCAGTAGAAGAAATACTGCAAAAAATACTTTTGCTTTGAATGCATATCATGCTTGATATTATTGCCTTTAGTATGCTGCCATACAAGAAAAAATGCTTTGTGACATTACTAAATATCACACCAGCAATTTAATGAAATGTGTTTTTATTTCAGATACAGAGGATTAGTGTTCTTTCTATTGTCACAATTCACCACTATTAACTACACAGTTGACTCATCATGAATCAGCGTTGGTGACTGAGTATTAAAGTAGATTCAGCAGACTGGACAAGCCGTGACAAACAAGCACTTTTATTTTTTTCACCAATTTGCATCCCAAATTTAGTTTAGCCTCTGGCTATCCAAACACATGATCCTACCAAGCTGGGCTAGTGTATGCTTCTTCTTGGACATGTGAAGTTGGCCAGTGTATCCTTTTGACTCCTGTTGCTAACCCTAAGAAACCATCATGCCCACCCAGAGAGTGTGAGGCCAGTTATGTTCTCTTGGATTCAACAGGCATCACCAGGGGTTGACCTCACAATCTTGGACACTAGGGCCAACACTTGGTTGTGCTGCTTAAGAGCCAAAAACAACCAATTTGGCCATCTGCTGTCTTCTCAGGACAAACAATTATATAGTCTCCTTAACTGTGGCCATGTTCCTTGTTGAGCAAAATAAGTAGTAGTCGAGAAAAGTTTACCTGTGCCAGCCAGTGAGGCTCTCACCTGTCCATTCCACTAGTTGATATAGCTTGTAATTCTCCATATTCGCAAATGGTACCCAAACAAGTATGTTAACAGTACTGTTTGTGTAGCAGCTGTACACACACTGAAATATGGTGGTTAAAATACATAATGCAACCCTTACAGTTAAAGTGACACTGTTGAAATTGTTACTCAGTCTTATTATGCCTGACTGAATCTGTACCTTCCACCAGGTGGCACTGTAGGCACACAGATGGTAGTTGGGGTGTGTTGCATACCTAGTGATGCAGAAAGCTCTCCTTAGAGGTCTCTTATCATAAGGTCCTTCATGGGTGGAAGAATCGACACAGTAATTTGCTGGGCTTTTCTGACCAAGCACTACAGGGCCTTGTGGTCAGACACGGGGGAGTTGCTGTACTATACTGTGATGCACTTTGTCAGTTGGCTTTCCGCTGAACATCTGTGGAGGTTGTAGACTCTTGGAGTGGAAGTTGACCTTCTTCAGCTTCCTGAGGAAGTGTAGGCATTGATAAGCCTGCATGATGAGAGTGGAATTGAGGAGGGCTGCTGAGAAGTCCTGAGGAACTTAAAGATGTCCACTCCCTTTCCAGCAGGCCCTTTCGTTAGAATGAGCTTGTGGTTCTAGTTGTTATGATCAGACCCATCACAGCAGTGCCTTCAGCAAATTTAATGATGGAGTGGCTACAAACTAGGTAAACAGGGAGCATTGCTGTACAATCCTGAGGGCTCTGGGTGTTCAAGATAAACGTGTAGTAAAGATGTACATATATGGAAACTAAGCTGCAGAAACAACACGTGGTGTCATGAAAACCAACACCTTTACACATTTCCCAGTCACACTAAAGTTACAAGGAGGATTTCAGTCTGGACTACATTTTGAAGGAGGCATAATACAGGACAGCCAGTCAGAACACAGCTCATTTAAGTATATCACTCTGAAAAAGACCCTTCAGTTACCTAATATGAGAACATATTTTTGTCTATTACTGATATCCAGTAAATAGACCTCACAGTTTTTTCTGAAAGCCTGAGTAGCAAAAGAGCTTCCAGACATGTTTTAAGCATTCCCATACATTTTAAGGGTAAAGGAGCATTTAGAAAGGGAAGCCCTGTCCTGCCTGTTTGTTAAAAATGTGTTCATTTTCCACATGTATTTAGTGTGCTGTGATCATTTGTTGACTTATGCCATAACAGCTATTAATAGTACTTCTTCTTTTTGCTTAATTATCAGATCTGTCACAATTGAGGTATATTGTATATGTTAAGATATCATTAAATCCAATGTATGCGCTTATAAAGTATTTATAAACAATGAATATACTGTTATGTTTGTCACATGGGTAGATTTGGCTATATTAAACTGATTTACACACACAGTAATTTTAACGTCATGTTTAAGAGAAGACAGAGATGAGATGAGAACAGTCAAAGTAATGTGTCAAAGTTATTATTTGACAACAGCCAATATATAAAAACTCAGAAGACACCTGTAGGTTCACTGGTGGCTTTGGAAGGTTGTAGACAGTGTGGCTCCTGGTTGCTATCACCACCACTCTAAAGAAATCTCAGTCAGTAAGTTTCTATAGAATGTAGCATTTCATACCAAGAGGCAAGATCCAGATGATGCAGGCCTCAGGTTGACAAAAGCCAACAGGAATGTGGGAGCCAAAGATGTAGTAGGGCAGACCATAGGATCATATAAGACATTTACTATAGTAAGTGGAAATAGCTTACACTGCACTGAGAGAATGTATCTAATGACTACATACTGTGAAGCAAATATCAGCATGATTACATTGAAATACAATGCTAACACCTACATTATCAAAATAATTTATAAAACATAAATAAGCAGTTAACATATTAAGGCTCAGTTGTACGACTGTGTTAAAGTGTCAGCACTTCACCCTGGCTCTCTCTGTCTTCTAGATTACAGGCCCAAAGGGGTGATTACATAATATACCTCTGCCTTTCATGGAAATCTTCAGGGTGACTGGAGAAATGTCTGTCTTGAAGTCCACTGAGCTTATGTGATGTGTTTCATGTAGGTCTGTTTGCAGTTTTCATGGAAAGCAGTGATACACCGATATCTCTGAGGGTGGAGATGAAAAAGGCCTTTTGGGATACAGAACAGTCTTCATTCATTTGGAAGTAACCTGAGGCAACCTCAGTTTATTTTTTTTACTCATTCTATTGGACTGCAACACTCATCTTACAGTCAGGTGGACACCTTGTATTCATCACCCACAGATGACACAAATGGAATTGATACTAAAGAGCATTAAAACACCCTTTCGTTTTCTCAGAACTGATATGACTGCCTTCTCAATAGATACCACAACCCTTTTTATGATCTGTTTATGAGTTGACCATGTGTATGAGTGTCACAATGGTTCACAACTGTAGGAGCCTACGGGCCACATTCATTAAACACACTGCCAGATTTACCAGAACTTTACATGAAAATAGTGTTGAATTAACATTCCTGATTCAGCAACTGGTCAGTATATTAAAGTAAAATTTATGTAGTCAAATAGTCTAATTAGTAGTTACTTGCTGGTTCCAAGGTGTTACTAGTTATTAGTTACTAGATGTCTGCTGAAATGTTCCTTAGCTCAGAATGCATATCATGCCTGATATTTAACATAAAGAGTAGGCTCCACAAGACACTAAAACTAACACTAGACCAACAGGGAGCCAGGTTTTTATATGTAATGCTGATAATGGTAAGAAATAGTGGTAAATTTGAAAAAATAAAGTTTCCTTGGTGTACTAGTTTTGCCTGACAATACTCTGCATGCTCCTCTCTTAAATGAATGGATTTATAAACATACATTTTAGTCCAAAATCTTATGTCAAAACTATCATACAAGAATGTCTCAGGCATGAGGCAGCATATTCATAACCATTTCTTATAATAACTTTCTGTGATGTAGCTTTTAGAGGCATTATTCACTTCAGATGTCTGGGTCCTATCAACCATTTAATTATGCAGAAATTGAAAAGAACTATTTAACATAGTCCTGTAGCATTAATTATCATCAAATTTATGCTGGCAAACACATTAACTGAAATAAAGTTTAGCTTACCTGACAGCAGACATTTCTAAGCCTGTTTTTGCCACTTTCAACCGTGAGCTGCGAGTGTTGTCTTCTGTTTATTTTAATACAAATTTTCTTAGCTCCAGGGAGTTAAACAAAAACACCAGTGCTCTCCTGATGATCAGAATAGCGTGCATCCTTTTTAGACTGAATTACATTTCTCAGCAGCTCCTTTTCACTTCTCTTAGCCTAATAATTCAGATTAGTTTACTGCCTTTGATGTTCTCACTACAGGTGTGTTCTGAGGAGTTTCGCTTGATGGAGGAAGTAGTGCTCAGAGAAAGTTGCTAAGTAGAGATTGGTTGAATGTCATGTCAATCATTATTTTGTAAATAGTCACTTGTTACAATGGACCCTTTTTATATTTCCAGATTGCCACTTCAAACAGCTTCTAAAGGAGTTAATTATGTTTCTAAACTAAGCTTTGTAAATACAGTTGGCCAGCCTGTAGAGTGCAGCAGATTTACCTGCATTTACAGTTAATACCGTGGTGTCAGTGTAGAACACACAACAATCATTGCACTTACAGGCAAATAATGTTTTATTGAACAGACGGCAAAGAAAAACCTTCAACCCATCCATGTTTTCTGATGTATTCCCCTCATAAGACAAAATAAGCCTTACCTGGAATTTCATCAGTTCCCAAACAAGCAAACATTACCTTCAAATTAAATCCAAGCTGTTTAGAAAAGTATAAAGTTAAACAAGTTCAGTGTGAATCAGAATCACTTTGCTTCACCAAGTATGTTGCACATACAAGGAATTTGTCTGGGTGAGTGCATACACATATGAAGGTAACTTGTTAAACAGACCAGAGAGCACACGGTTTTATATTTATACAATTTTCCTTTTCATATAATACTCAGGGTTGTGTCAGAAAGATGAACCATGATTTACTTTAAATAACCCATTATTTCACATATCGGCTAAATTCGTGTTAACTGTAATGTGTATACAGCTAGAGGTAACAGTGCTGCTACACAGACTATAGCAGAAGTGCATAATGCTGGTCCTGGAAATCTACCATGCTACAGAGTTTAGCTCTAAGCTTAATGTTACACACATGATCCAGATAATAAATCCCTATCAGAGTATATTAATATTAGAGCCAGGTGTGCTGGATCTGAACTCTCCAGACTGTTAGGTCAGTTAGCTTACATAGGAACAGTGACCTAAAATCTGGTGGGTACTCAGTTACACTGACTTGCTCCTGCATGGTAGGTAAATCTCAGCTGTGGGTTGACGCCCTTTTTAACTCTCGTTTCTCAGAACTGGCATGATTATCAGACTCCTACTCAGTGGAGGCTGCACCCCTTTTAGGATCGGTTTTGTAAGAGCTCATCACGTAGCATTATTTGCAGAGGAATTGCGACAGTTCACGAGTGCTCTTCCATTCAGATCCGCATTTACAGTGAGTATCCTAATCTTTGTTAACATACACTATATGATGTGCTCAGAGCCCTTTATTTCTATGTTTTCTCCCACCTGCCTGTAATTGAGATTTTTACATCCAAAAAAAATGGTTTCCACTACACGTGTTGGACATTGCTTCATTTTTGTCTTTCCCAGAGTGGCAGTCTGCAAATATACAAATGAGTAAAAGAGGTATGTCTTTAGACTCTCTAAAAATCTGAATGAGTCCATTTTTTACAATGTTTCATGTTTGGAGTGTTGAGTGGTATCTTTCCTCATTACAAATTCTCAGGTATCAGCTGTGGTCTGCGGAGCAGTTTCTCCACCTCCATTTTTAGATGATTACAGTAAATGGGAGGATATCATAAGAGGATAATGACACTGTTTTTGAGTGTGTTAGAACTTCACCAATGCACTGAACTCTGGGATACCTACAGTATGATGCAATCGGAAAAGGATGCGTTTAGTTTGTGTGACATAGACATCAGTGTCTGAAAATCAGAATGAATCCAATTTTACACAGTTCAAATGTTTTCAAATGTTAACAGCAGGTAAAAGGACCTTTGGATATGGCAACATTCCTACTCCACATGGGACGCCCAGAAAACAAAAAAGGTGTTCTAGCCCTGAAAGGACTAGTGCTGGTAAGCTTTACATTTTGCTGCTATTGTCAAATGCTGAATATATTCCAAAGAATCAACTATTACATAACTAGAAATAGGAATGTGATGATAAAACTCCAGACCCACAATACAGAAAACAATCTGAGCACTCCTGCATCACTTCCTGTTTGTTTTAATTTTCCTTATTTTATACATATAATATTTGTACTGTTGTAGTCACATCAATAATGTATCAATGTTATATTCCTTTAATTTGCAAGACGTGCAATTGAGAATAAAAATGTTGACGTAGCAACTTATGAAAAACATGATGGCTTCTATTTACTTTAGTTAAACGCAGCTGTGTGGTATTTTTTCAAAACCATCAGAATTTCTATCTAACCATGGTTACACGTTGTCTGGTGCAACCAAAGCATGATTTCTAAATAACTTAAACAATGTTGTCACGCTTCCGGGCTCTCCTCCCTTGCCTAATACTCTCCAGGACTCCAATTCCCATGATTCCAATCCTGATGATGTCACTCCTTCCACCAATCACACACAGCTTCCTCGTTCTCAGTCACCTGAGTATTAATGCAATTCACCTGTGTTTGTTTGTCCCAGGCTTTAAATAGTTTCTGGTTTGTTCTCCTCATTGCGAGGTATTGCCCTTCACTGGACTACTGAGCGTTTCTCTACTGGTTTACTGACTTGTGTATTGGACCCTTTGCCTGTTTTTTGGATATTGCGTTTTTGTGTTCGCCCTTTTGCTCTGGTCGCTTGTGCATTTTGTATCTTCTGGTTTTTTTACTTTTTGCAAGGCTTTTGGATTCTGATTTTGGTTTTGCCCTGAAACTATCTGACCATCTTACTAATCTCTCATTAAACCACTTCCTTTTTAAGATCCGCGAGCGTCTTTCTGTGCTTGTGCAGCATTACAAATGTTTATGTATTTTACCATTTGTTACTTACTTAGAAAGGTCAGTCTTTTTAACAGTAAAAGGACTCTGATAAAAAAAAACAATAAAAAAAAATTATATTCATTATTTATATACATTATTCATCAGGATGGGTCAGTTTAAAGGGAGTGTCACTGATCTGTGTTCACAGCCCGATTTGTACTGTGGTTGCATAGACTAATACATTTACTGGCAGTACATGATGTCTATTGCGCATGAGTAATTATTTTATAGCAGCAACAGATCTATAATAATTTGTAATATTCCCCAATAATATTTATGTGTATTTTGCTGCCATATTATGCTGCCTGCAGATCAGTATTAGTAAATAAATGTCAGTATGAACATCTTGCTTTAGGGTTGTTTTTCTACCTGCGTGGTTTCGCTTTGTACACAAAAGGACTGACTTTATGGACACCACAATAATGTGCGTGAATTGGGCAATGGGCAAAGACTGAGTAGTGAAAGGGAGCCTGGCCACTTCCTACTTTATTATAATATAATAAAGGTAAACCAAACCAAGATAGCGCATGCCTGTTCAAGTCAATGGTACAAAAACATGCTGTCAAATCTTGGCAGCATCTAAAACTAAACAGACTGACTCTAAACTAAGTTTTTTTCTTAAAATCAGCTCATCGAAATTTTTGGCTCATCAAAATGTTTTAATTATTTTATCATTACCTTGACCTCAAATGAGAGAGGGTAAACCAAGTCATCTATCTCAATGGACCACAGTAAGTAAGGAAACACACTCCAATCAGAAGGGCAGTTAATTAGGCCAAATATCAAATAACAAAATTTAAATTACTTACAGTGACATAGTTGATTAAAAGAGAGGTATACAGAAGTCAGAAAACATGATCAAGCATATGAATGGCATTAAGCAAATGACAACTTAAGAAAGTTCTTTCTGGGGAACAGCAACATGAAGAGTGAGCTGAAATATCAATGTACATATATATGTAGTATATATGTATAATCTGCTAGGTTTAGACCCACTTATATATATGTACTTAGTGGTGGTCACAAGGAGAAAGGCTTCAACCCTTCCTGGGGACAAGCTTGGCTTGGTTAGCGAGGCTGCTGGCAGTATGAGCCAGACACAAACAAATAAAACAAACATGTGGACAAACAAAAGATGAGTTTCACAGATCTGATAGTGAATGTTCTATACACTTGCCTAGGCTGGCACAGTAACTTCCTTCTTGCAATTTTCCTACTCTTTTCTCTGCTTTCTTCTCCCCCAACATCCCTGTGCGCTCTAGTTTTGTCTGGCCTTAGGCCGTCCCCTTTGGAAGTGGAACCAGAGTGCTGATGGGTCCTTCTCATGTAAGAGTCATTAAGATACACACAGTCCCATGCCATTACATACTGTGGTCAGTTGGAGAGGTAGTCCAGAATCCAATCTGATGGTGGTGATCCACCCCTGTGTTCTCCAGCTTGTTGCTCAGGAGCCTAGGCTGATCAAAGAACATGATTCTCACACTGCTCCACAGCTGATCGGCACAGGACTTTAGAAGCCTGGCGCTGATGCCATCCGGACCCGCGGCTTTCCTCGCTTTGATCTTCCTGTGCTCCTTTTTCACCTGGGCTGTTGTAAGGCACAGATTGGAGCAGGGGGGCTGGGTGCTGGAGTGTACGGGTAGGGGGGTTGAGCTGATAGCAGAAAAAAAACAGTATGGGGAGGCTGTGAGGTGTGAGTTGTGGAGAGTTGTGGGAGAGGGGGCAGGGCAGTACTCTGGGAGCGCAGAAGAGGAGAGTTGAAGCAGGGTTAACTGTTTAGGTGGAGGTGAGTGATCAAAACTATTTAAAAAAAAAAATTGAGATTGTTCATCCACTTTTGGTCCCCTTCAGCCTGGGGGGTTTAAGATGAAACCAGGTGAGGTGTTTCCTACAGGTTCAAATTGGTTAAAACAGTCTGGCAATCAAAAAAATAAGTTCACTGTAATCAGCAAAGGGGAAGTACAATTGCTAATGTTTGGTGATATGAGCAAAATTCCATTCTAGTGTGAATGAGAGTCAGATTTCTATTTTCTGCATAAAGGGGAGAATGAGTCCCCCCTCGCTCATGAAAACCACATGGCATGTTTATAGTAGTCTTATTACAGGTTGGCTCTCAACGTTTTTAATCCTCTCAGATTACACAAATAATGTGACTGCAAAATGCTGTAAGTGCCCATGAGTGAGTCCTCAATAAATGAGAGTGTATGGAGCAAAAACATTGATTGGCACACATGATTTGAATTTAATTTCAATTTAGAAAGTAAAATAATGTATTACATGAAAAAAATCAATAAAGACTTTGAACCGCATTTTTCTGTTGTCCAAGTTTTATGCAGTATTATGCTAACATTACTGCTACTGAGTGCTGATTGGTTGGTGAGCTGATCAGCTCATTGGCTGAGTAAAACAGCTCACACTCACTGATATTATGAATATATTTGAAACGGTTAAAATGTCCAATAACTGGACCTAAAGTGTTCACCCATATGACAGCATTACTGAAATATTTTATGCCATTCCTTGTTGAGAAAACAAGTGTAATTGAACAAATTGAGTATGTAAAAATTCCGATGTTGCACTGTGGAACAAATGCATTTTGGACACTCTCTGTAGTGCCTAGAGTCTGACCAACCATAAATGATTACTGAGTGTCAGTTCTCCTCACTGGTATTGACTCTATAAATGCACTCTGAGGAATCAAGGAGAGAGGAGGTTTTCACAGTGAGGACACTTCTGGTTCCTGTTGCTTTGGTTCCTCTCAAGCTTCCTCATGCTCTTAGGGAGTTTTCCTTGCCACCGTTGCACTTTCGCTCCACCACATCCTCTCACCCTTTACCTAAACCTTGTCCCGAGGCTTTTTCCAGCTATGAGACTTGGTTAATATGAGAGCATGCTTCCTGACTTTCCCTGTTCCACTGGCCGTCAGCAACAGATGTTACCAGTTTGGGCAGGTGATAAGGACTAGGGTGTCTTCCTGCTGCTTTTCGTGTGGTTCTTCATACCACATGAAAAGGAGAAAAGGAGATCGGCTTACCTCCAGTCCACTTAGTCCTTCTTCTTACACCAATGGCATCCCCAAAACTAGTGGGTCCTGCTAAACATCATAAAATAATTCTTGTGCCTCTGGCATGAATTGCTGGTTCTCCAGTTCAGTGGGCTTATTTCCTCTTTTCCAAAAGAACGACCCCTGAAGGGCCTGAAGCTGGGGTATAGGCAACTCAGGAAGTGTCTGCAAGGAAGTCAAGGCTATCTCAACCTTTACTGCTGGAACTCATTGGATTGCCAATTGCCTTCCAGCAAAATTGGCCAATAGCCGATGCCAGTCGAAGGCAGGGCTGGATTTTAAGGCCTGTTTACACCAAGAACTTTTTGGACAAAAAACAGATGCAATTTAAATGTAGCGGGATCTTCACTCTTCATCAATTCTGATGCATTTTTCTGTCTAAACACTCGGAAATTTTCTTTGACCTCTGCGTTTTTTTAGTCAGCATTTGCTTGTCATGTAAGCTTTTGTGCTCTGGTACAAGAGTTCTGCTGCCATGCTGATGCACATTTGTTTGGGCTGCAACCTGCTTAAAAATTCACACAGTATCACAGTCCAGTTTCGGACACGGTGTGAAAGATGCCATTAACATATGCCATCTGTGAAAATGTAGTCAAAAGGTCTGTATTTCCACCGTTTGAATGAGGAATCACAGGGTCCTGTGACTAAGGAGCCTCACACAGGGCTGCAACAGTCCGTAAATATGGCTCGTATGTTTTACATCACTGATCAGCTCTCAGGATTGGCTAAGTTAGAGAAATAACTGCCAATTGTGTATTTGGCCAGAAAATTAGCTGATACCGATACATAGCCGATTGACCCTCTAATGCTCAATATTGATTTTTTTTATTTAGTGTAGACCATTGTAAAAAAAAGTGTTCCAATCAACAGTTAACTGAACGAGGGCTCACTTGGAAATGAACTGAATGGTGTGCTTTTTGGTGGACCATTGTTCAGGCATTTGGTGTTGTAAGCACTTAAACTCAAAATTTAAGATGTGATTTAGAATGTGTTGGAGCAAACTTTAAAAATGAATTACCAAAAAGTAGCTTTCAGTTTTATTAGTGTGGAATGACCTTTATTGTAATGCTAAAATACTGTCTATTATACTGATAAAAGATCATATTTGTCTGTTAGACACTCAATTATCAATTCATTGTTTAAGCTTTGCCAAAATTGTTATTTTCCTTTTTATAACATGCCTTTTTTTAGGGATGTGTATTACAACAGCCAAGAAAATTATGAAAAATATTGAATTCAATCTCAGTCTACATGAAAAACAATATGAAGACAGCTCCAGCCCCAAAAAGCTCATTCAATATATCAGGTACAATATGCTTAATAATAGCACCTTATAAATATATTTATAGCACAATTGATAAAAACAGTATTTTAGAACCTTTTTTTCTTATGCTTTTTATGCACAGGGAAAACATCTCAAAACTGGACAAAGGTGGTATGAAAAAGAAAACTACTGTTGGAGTGTTTGGAAAGACAGGGGCTGGGAAGAGCTCTCTGATAAACACCATCCTGGGAGAAAAACATCTGTTACCATCAGGAACCCTGTGTGCCTGTACTTCAGTCATCATACAGGTTGGAGCCAACATTACAGACTCCAACTACACAGCTGAGATTGAATTCATCTCAAAAGAGGTACACAGGTTATAAAACAACACATATGGAAACAGTTTTCAGTCCTTAAAAAGTTGCAATTTAATTGGAAACAAATTTAACTCCTTACTGGCATAATGTACCTTTGTGGCACAGGAAAATTTGCATTTATAACAATCAAATTACATTATATGTTGGATGAGTTTGGAAAAAGTGGACATCAGATGTGGAAGGAAAAAGCTTTTTAATTTTCCATTAAGCTGAAGAACAGTTTCATTATGGAAAGATCCCTTTAAGCATGCAAATGTTTCTTTGAGTGTTCACAGTTCTATATAGAACCATTGGGCCTCATTAACCAACCTTTCTTAAGAAGAAATTTTGTCTTAAAACGCACTTATGTTCTCTTCATTAAGATTCTGACATTCACCAATGTTTTCTTATTTGGGATTTGTTCTAGGTAAGAACAGAACCTACACACACTCAAGTGCACAAAGGTGCAAACAATCCTGCGGTTTAAGAACACGTCAAGAATCTAACGTAGTCTTTGTCTTAGGACCAAGAACAAATTTAAGAAAAAATCTTAGGAAGATATTAGTGAATGAGGCCCATTGTCTTTGCTACAGAACTTTTGAAGAACCATTTTTTAAAAAAAAGTGTAATAATTAGCTAATATGTGAAATCGTGTTACATATGGACTATATTTGGTAATATTTTATAAAAGTATAAGTTTTAGAAAAATGGCACCTTAACCAGAACAGTCAGGAAAGAGACAGAGAAGAACAGACAAAAAGAGAAAAGACAGCATAAAAGAAGCAGGCAGCTGAAAATCAGTGTAGAAAGAACAGAATAAATATAGACACTGTTCAGCTGCTTGACACTATACTGAGGCTTCTAACAGCAGTCGCTGATGTTCATGGATTTAACTCTCATCTTCACTGTGATACACTTCTAACAGTAGTTGCTGGTCTTCATAGCTCTAATAGGCCTCTGACAATAGTCAGTGACTGTAACAGTAACTAACACTGTAGTTAGTAACAGTGACTTTTTTATACAAATTTTGTTTACTCAAGTTTATACAATTCCAAAAAAGTTGGGACGCTGTGTAAAATGTAAATAAATGTAAATAAAAACAGAATGCAATAACCTGCAAATCTCATAGACCCATATTTTATTCATAATAGAACACAGAACACATATCAGATGTTGAAAGTGAGACATTTTAAAAGAATTAAATGAAAAGAAAAATGAAAAGAAAAACAACTCATTTAGAACTTGATGGCAGCAACGCATCTCATAAAAGTTGGGACAGGGCAACAGAAGGCTGGAAAATTAAGTGGGACTAATAAAAAACAGCTGAGGAGCAGTTTGCAACTAACTCACATGACTGGGTGTAAAAAGAGCATTTTAGAGAGGCAGAGTCTCTCAGAAGCAAAGATGGGCAGAGGTTCACCAAACTGCATCTAAAAAATGTGGAATAATTTCAGGAAAATGTTCCTCAACGTAAAATTTTGAAGACTTTGGATATCCCACCATCTACAGTACATAATATCATCAAAAGATTCAGAGAATCTGGAGAAATCCCTGTAACACAAGGGACAAGGCTGACAGTCAATATTGGATGCTTGTGATCTTTGGGCCCTCTGGCAGCACTGCACTAAAAACAGGCATTATTCTGTACTGGAAATCACTGCATGGGCTCAAAAACACTTTCAGAGCACTTCCCAGGCTCTTCTTCTGCAAAGCCAAGCTGTTGTGATGGATGACATTTATTTACATTTTACACAGCATCCCAACTTTTTTGGAAGTGGTGTAGATCTATTTCTCCATTTGTTTCTCTGACAGGCCTCTAACTTCATTCAGTGAGAGTAACAGTAACACGGTTACAGACCACCCACTACTACCAAGAGATATTACTTTAGTTTTGTTGTGCTATTCAATTGTAATTGCATAATTGCTTATTTATTTACACAATTAGTTACAAAATGAATTATATTTAAATTAGAGTTGCACTCTGCATTTCTGACTATTGTGTTTGTTTCTGTGTCACAAGAATATAGAAACATAACAGTATAAAGATGTTTATATATTTCACAAAACATTGTTTTATTCATTTAATTAAGCACATTTTACAGAATTTCTCTGCTTGTTTTGATGAGCTGTAAATGAGAAATAATGAAAGTTGAATGGCACCATGCTTTTCATGCCACTGGCAACAACTCCTCAGAGATTAACTTTCCTTCACATAAACCCTGTATTTTTTCATTCTACTGAGATTGTTATATAAAATTACTCTGTACAGAAAAGCATCAAAATAAATATTTAGGATGACCAACAGTAAAAAGTATGCTATGAAATATCAGACAAAAGTGAAAAATCTTTATTATTAATCATTAGCTTTATTAGAATGTATAACACTAAATAACGCTAATTGATTGAGAGAGTAGAAGGACCTACAGAGAATCAGGAACAAGGAAAATGAAAAATTCACTGCTCTCCTGTGAATCTCTGAGTTACATTGTCAGAGGACAGCTAACACAAACTGCATCAACAGATGATCTACAGTCTTTAACTGTGCATAAACAAGGTGGAGCCAGAAGGTAGGGGTTCCTACTAAAGCTGTTGATGAGTGTAAAATTGTAAGTAGTTTATGATTTGTCAGACTGTTTTATCATGCTGATAAAACAGCTGTTTGCAGCTGTAAAGCACATGATGCAGAAACACTTGGACCAAACATTCACCTGATCACTTGCTCTTGGCTTGTACTTATAAGCTCTGTGCAAGTATTATATTTCTTTTAGCTGTTGAACTCTTTTCTCCCACTCTGAAAAGTTGCTGATTGTGTTGTTTCTGATTGAAGTTCTTTTCTTTAACTTTAGGAATGGGAAGAGGAACTCAAGACCCTTCTGAATGTTTTACGGGAGGATGGTGAGGAGAAGGATGTTGCAATGTGCAAAACAGCCACTGAGAAGATCACAGCACTGTATGGGGAGGAATGTGTTAATATGAGAGTAGAAGACCTCATGAAAGATGACAAATTCTCAGGAATTCCAGAGTTTCTCGGATCTGAAACCAAAAAGATAACAAGTAAGCAAGTAAGTAGAGGTGATTTGTTATTGAGAGCATGTCATATTTCTCAGTCTGAAAGTTGCTAGAAGGCAACATCCTACATTTGAAAATATAGCATCTCATTTGTGCTTATGTTTGTGCATTTGTGCATCAGGCTTCAGATCTCTCGGATGAGATTAGATGTTACGTTCAGCATGATGATTCAAGTCCTGGAGAATGTTACTGGCCGGTAGTGAAGAGTGTGACCATCAAGGTTCCAAACTGTGAAGATTTTCTAGAACATGTTTTATTAGTGGATCTTCCTGGAACCGGAGACTGCAACAAGACCAGAGATCAGATGTGGAGATCGGTAAATACTGTTGTTAATTTCAAAATAAAGCAAAAAGTCAAAGATTCACTGCATAGGCATCGATATTTTTTCAGGTGTTAAGTGTCTCCGGTGTTTGAAGGGCAAGGCAAGGAGAAGCATATTTATGTAGCATATTTATCATTGTCACTGTCAAAAAAAAGCAAAACATCTGCAAAATGGTTCCTCTACAGAAAAAGAGATCTTGTTAACTTTTAGCATGTAAGGCAATAAGTAATAAATAATGGAAAACTGTAATAAATAACGATGAGCAAGTTATCATAAAAAAGATTTTATTCCAAATTGTTTTCACCCAGTGTAAAGTGTAATTATTGTGTTCAAATGGTGTAGAGAAATACAAATTGAAAAAATATTTTTATTTAGAACAGTGATGATATGCAAAGCTAATTCAAAGTGCTTCAGATAAATAAGAGCACAATTAAGACATAAAATGACATTAAAATATAAAAAATAACGTACAACACAGTGAAATAAGAAATACAAAAATCTTAAAATTAAAACAGTTTTCAAGGGATCAACTGAATTAATTGTACACCCGATTATTCCTATTTTACCTATCCAACTTTTTACAGTATGTTTTGACTGTACTGGCTCCACTTCTCAAATTTTTCAGATTGACAAAGTGAAGTAAACTAAGCATGCTACCTGTGAAAGTGTAAGTCATTGCCAGCTTGTTGGCTACTGCATGCAGCATCACTCTCCTGTATTAAAATGTCAATGCTGTTGCCTAGTTTGTTAGTTGGTCTACACTCTTAAAAATAAAAGGTACCCAAAGTGGTATAGACACCACTTTTAGTTAATTAAAAAAAACATGTTTGCAAAAGACATCTGCAATGTAATGTAAATGATGTTTTACATCAGTGGTGTCCAGTCTTATTGACAAAGGGCTGGTGTGGATGCATTTTCATTCTAACAAAGTAGGAGTACACATGATCAGTTGTTGGAAAACTGACCAGTTGTTTAACAGGGGGAATCAGGTGAACTCCTGCTCATTTGAAATGAAAACCTGCAGCCACACAGTCCCTTTCCAGGTAAGATTGGACACCTTTGTTTTACATTATTACACTGCTCTTAACTTAGAGTTCTTCTTTAGAACCCTCAGTTTAAGTGGAGGTCCCTTAAACCTTCAAAATGTTTTCTACACACACATCTCATTTACGAAAAATGGTTCTTTGAAGAACCATCCATTGTTTTTTTAGGGAACCAAAAGTGGTTTTTCTATGGCCTTGTGCAAAGAACCCTTTATGGCACCTTTTTTTTCAGTGAGTTTTAGCTGGTGTTTTAATGCACTGAAAATCTGTCAGATGCTTCATCGTTCTTGGTTAAGCAACCATAGCATCCTAATAAACTTGAGTAAACAAACACCTAAGCACAGTGTCAAAACATATAGCAGATTAGGCTGGACAGCATATTGTCGCTGTCCAAAAAAGTGAGTATTTCCACTTTTGTTGCCTTTCATGTTTTGACACGATTTGAAAAAATTAGAAACCAGTTACAACACTGTCAAGATGCTGCATTACAATTACAACTGAGAGCAGTTCTAGTGAGAGGGATGAAAGGGATATTGATAGCCTGTTTTAAATATAATGATAATAATTAGTAGTTTTCAGTGTTTTATATACTGAATAACCATCTACTGGCACATTTCTAGTGTAACACATTATTAATCTTGAAATTTAGCATAAAACACTAATCATATGATGGGACGGGTAGTATAGGCAGTGTGCCCTTCGCCACTTATGCCACTGCTTAAATGACCAGGAACTCATCCATCACTTCAAATGGAATAACTTATGGAATAATAAGTTTAACTTAGGTTTACTAACAAATGTCATAGGCATAAAGGTATTTAAAAATTCATACCAGAAGAATCACCAACAGCCATGTATTGCTGTCCAATGAGAGCACTTTAAGGGATCATGGATGTTTACATTCCCTTATGGTTATCTTACCCTGTAATATTCTCTGATGTTTTATAGAAACTGAGAGAGTGTTCTACAGTGTGGATCGTAAGTGAAATGAACCGCGCTGGGTCCGAGCAGGAAGCCTGGGAACTTGTTTGTAACAGTGTAAGACACATGGCACAAGCTGGAGAGTGCCGCAGCATGTCCTTCATATGTACCAAGACCGATCAAATTGAAACAGAGAAATATATGAGGTCAGTTGCAAGGCTACTGCTTATGAAGTTACAATTTACACTACTAGTCAAAAAAATACACATTATTGCATATTTTAAAAATGCATTTGTTTAAACTTAAAAGTTGTTTAAGACAAATGCAAATACAGATATTCAAATTAATGCTATATATGAATTTATGTCCAAAACAAAAAAAGAAATAACAATTTTAAACAATATTCTTTAAACAACACATAATTAAGGACTTCATTTCATGTCCTTGTTATAATTTTAAAATGTGAAGGAAAAAAAGGAAACCTGTTCTGTAAGTGTGCCCAAACATTTGACTAGTACTACATATATTTGCTACAGTTCATATAACAGGCTTATTACAAAATTAGCATTTTTTTACTTACATGGAAAGTAAGACCATTTCACTACACATCAGCCAAAAAGATGAATTCTGTTTTTTGAATTCTGATCATGAATTCTGTTTAATGCTGTGGTTGTGATGTGCGGTTTAATTGCATTAATGTCTGTTGTAAAACCTGAGGCGTCCATCACTGGCTTGCACTGCCGTGGGAGGCATAGCCATGCAGAGCAGCCACACAGAAGCTCATGGGAGGTGCTACACTCGCGGTTGGAGAGACTTAAATTGTATATAAGTTGTTCTTGTTAGTTTGAAGATGTGCACATATGTTGTTTCTGTCATTGCGTGCTGGGTTGTGGGCTAGTTTGTGTGGATTTACTGTCTACAGTGGAGTCGAAATGTGTGGTTAGAAGTGGCCTGCCAGCTTCCCAGCCATGTCAGATAGTTCTCTGTTGTGTTTTTAGTATTTCATCAACTTATACTATGACAACATATAGCACACAGAGACAGAGAAGCAGTGTCTTCAACTCAACATTGTTTTGTTTATTATTTTGAACTCTCACCTATGCGGAGGGATACACAAGTAGTCTGATGTCCAGCAATACCTAGTGACTTAGAGTACTTCTAAGAGATACTCAATACATGACATTCTCCCTTGCTGCTGTTCAACAAAAGAGCATTTGCATGCATGCACAATGCTCTATGCTGGTGCTACACTGGTGTCAGAAGTGGGATAGTGCCCTCCAGTGGCCTGTAGAGGAATGGTGCTTCCACAAACTCAAATGTGGACACCAGAGAAGCCGAGCCTGGCTGAAGACCATGGAAGTAGAAGCTGCATGGCAAGGTCTGGCAGCAAAGATGGCAGAAGAAGCAGAGTAGTGAGGCTTAGCAGCAGAGTCCAGTGGGAAGACAGTGAAAGAGGTGGCAATGAGGACACCTAGATAGTGACCAGTGCCGGAGACCTGCCAGCAGAGCAGCATGGCATCCTGGTGCTGTTGATCATGGCCCTCCTGTGATGCTCCTGGCAGGTGTCTGCAGCCTGATTGGATAGATGGCTGCTTCCTGATTAGCGGATGGGAGAGCTGTCAGTGGACCTGGGTTAGCCAGCAATCAAGAGGTTGGTAAGGGGGGAGTTGGTGCTAGGGTGCTTCCTGGGTGCGCTGCTGCCAGAGGAGCTGGGAGGGTGTGTACAGTAGCCAAGGCAGCGAGTTCTGCCACACCTGGAGAGGAAAACACAGCACTCAGTCTCTCTGGTGTGGCACACCAAGAGAGTGGATGTGGCCCCAAGAGAAGACTGGGGGAGCATGCACCCCAGGCACTCTGCTTGAATTCTCTGGGGTCCCTGGGATGGCTGACCTTTGATCGGGGCTGGATCATGCTGCCATTCGTGCACATGAGGCGTGGCCATGCAGAACGGCCACATAGAGACTCTTGGAAGGTGCCACCCTTGCGGCTTGTAAATAATTTGTTGTTACCTTGAAGATGTGCACATGTTGTTTGTGCCATCATGTGCTGGGTTGTGGGGTAGTTTGTGTGGATTTACTGTCTACAATGGAGTCGAAATGTGTGATTAGAAGTTACCTGCCTGCTTCCCAGGCATGTCAGATAGCATTGAGTGCCAATTCTTCCTTGACGCTGTTCATTTGTCCTCATATTCAATGTTTCCTGTGTTTTCTTGTTCTATGACAAAGCCAAAATATATTTCTGGCATTAGCTGAACTTACATAGAATATTTTTTTTTTCACTGTCACCATAAATCTGACTAATACATATTTAAATGTAGATCTGCAAAGCTCAAGGATAAAGACTTTCAGATCACACCAAAGGTAATAAATTTAGTTTTGTAAATATTCCCCAAAATATCCTATAAGTTGGTAAATGTAGTTGAATGAATAAATGTTCATGTCTTTACAGGACTCTCAGTACAATGTCAAGAGAAAATCCAAATGCATATTGCACAGGAATAATAAAGCAAAGGAACTCGTGCAGAAGAGTTTTAAACAACTATCAACATTTAAGGTATTTCCTTTTCTTTCATCACTGTTTTATATAGGCAGAAAGTTTACAGACAGCTCTGAGGACATCCTTCCATACTGGTATTGTCTGTTATTCTAAAAACAAAAACATACTAAGCAGTATTTAAGGCTATGAATGTAATATAGGAAAACAGTATTCTACATGATGTGAGCCTTAACTGAGTTAATATCAATTAATATCACTGTGATGTGATTGGAAAAGGCCACAAGGAACAAGTCTGACTACAGAATCCAGAAGTTTCAGCAAATATTTAACATGAAGTTTCTTTCAGGTTTTTGCTTTGAATGCCAACTTTTTGTCAATCTAAATGAACAGGTACAGTGACTCGCAAAGATATTCACCTTCTATAACTTTTTCACTTTGTGTAGTGTTACAACTCATTTTGTGTCACAAATCTGAACACAATAGTCTGTAATATGGTTTGCAAAATTATTTCAAATGGAAAATGTGAAAGTTGTGATTAAAGGGGAGCTCCACCTATTTTGCAAACCTACTTAATCATTCAATGGTTTAGATGTAAACCAAATCATTAAGAGTGGTTTGGTGTGAAATGCATCTTTCTAATGAAATTTACTGAGTCAGACAGTTTTGTTATAAAGTTTTGGCCTAAAATGTATTTTGAACATAAACTATTACTCCAGGATTACCTCTCCGTTTCCTGTCAAAACTGCATTCTCAACTGAGATCAATGCACACAAGCGAACGTGCTTTTGTAGTCACTAGCGCATAGCTACAGCCGTTCAACACGGCTAACGCCAGTGATGTATCCATACAGTTCCCCCTTTAAATTCATATTCCCTTTGACAAATCAGGTCCTTGGGCACACACATTCACTGAACAGATAACAACACCAAGCAACACTGGAACTACGGAAGGCAGAAAGGTTCAAACAAAGTTTGTACAGCAGCTGTATTCACCCAGTTGCCAATGAACAGGACAAAAGTTATTTATCAGTGTTATCTGGGGTGAATTCATACTGGGGATTGGGTGAAAACACGCAGCCATTCAATCTTTCTTTTGAAGCTTTTTGCTTTCCGTAGTTCCAGTGTTGCTTGGCTTTGTTTTCTGTTCAGTGAATGCGCGCCCGAGGACCTGATTCAACAAAGAGAATGTGAATTTGAGGGGGAACTGAATCGGACATAACACTGACAGCAGCTTTTGTTTACAGTTTATTTTTACAGTTTTCTTACCCTTTTTTGGAAGATGGCTAAGTGCGTGGAGGACTTCGAGGAGGTCTGTTCCCAAAATGTTGTAGACCTATACCGATTTGAATGAGAATACACAAATGACTTGCAGCAACTTGAAGATAAGAGAGCAAACAAGGGAGAGAGAGAGAGACTGAACCTACTGACGCCGAAACAGAAGAACCCAGGGTGAAAGGAAATGAATGGTGTCAACAACAAACTACGTGCTACTCGTCACCAGTTTATGGGGTAGGACAGCGAGGTGCAACTGTGATCTATCGCGGCTCCGCTGATGAATAACGTTACTCTCATAAGCTCTGAGTTTTGCTGACACTGTGATGCAACGCCGCCAGTCCAAACAACACAAAAGCCGTGCGGGGCGTAGAGGTACATACGGGTGTTGTAAGGAAAAAATAGTACCAAAAAACCATGTTTTTTCGAATTTAGCAATATCTTGGTCAACAGTCTTTTTGGATAGCAGATAAAATGGTGATATTTGTAGTGTAGACACACGGACGTCTGCTTCCTAGTACTATAATGGTGAACAATTTTGACTCAATACATTTTTCTAGAAAGGCGCATTTCACACCATACTACTCTGAATGATTTTGTGTGCATCTAAACGGTTGACATAATTTTGCGAATTTGGTGGAGTTCCCCTTTAAATAAGAATTCACGCCCCATGCTGTGAAACCTTCAAATTAGTTCTGACCTGATCTTTGCACAACAAACCAAGCACACAAAATTCTGTGAGATAAACTCAGTCACACAACGTAACGTAATGAACTAGACACAAAACTCAAAACCAGATCGGCATCAACAGGCGTCAGTTTCAGAATGTGGGTGTGTTCACAAATAAAAATAATGAAGTTGATAAGAAAACATCACAGATGTTGTCTTTGCACTGTTTTTGTTCAAATACAGGTCAGACAGATTTGTATTCATTATTTTCTGTTTTTATCTGCATTTCACGTGCTGTCTAGGCTATTTTGGATTTGGGTTTGTAAATGGGCTTTGTGCTATACAGGGGTTTGTTGTGAGATTTTCTTTCAATGACCTATTGCTATTTCAGCACTATACCATGCTGACAGAGTAGTTGATATGATACTGCCAAATTTATGCAGCAAATTTTGATGTCCCACTCTGGTGAAGGGTAAATCCTGAAGTCTGTGGGGTAGATTTGGCTAGACTCACATATCCAGTAATGAAACTTGAAAACAGAGAGGCCGATACTACCATGTGGTTTAGTGCGCTCAAGTTCTGAAATAATATTCTGGAACACTTGCCACCCTGGTCAAATATGAGTTCATTTCTTCTAAGAATTTGGTTGATGGATTAAGTCAGAGGTAAAACTGACATCTTCACTATACTGAGTTTATCTTGCACTGAAATCTGTGTGTGTATATTATACATATATATATATATATATATATATATAATATATATAGCCCTGCGATGGACTGGTGACCTGTCCAGGGTGTATCCTGCCTTCCGCCCAATGACAGCTGGGATAGGCTCCAGCACCCCACCGTGACCCCGTAGGATAAGCGGTTTAGATGATGTATGTATGCATGTATGTATGCATGTATGTATGTATGTATGTATGTATATATATATATATATATATATATATATACACATATATATATATATATATATATATATATATATATATATATGTATAATGTTAATACACCAATGGTGAATGAATTGGTAAAGGTGAGGCCAGTTGGAGGGGTGGTGGCTCTTAAGTAATGCTGTCAAGTGGTGTTAATGATGATTTATCCCAGTATATTTTGAACCCAGACATATTCCTGAATTAAATAAATAGCTGCAGGATGCTGGGTATAGATTTATTCAAAACAGAAACAAAGCCTGCATACAGTGAGTTGTGACGATGAGAGCCTTGGATCATTATTGAGGATTTTGTTTGAAGAGTCAGGGGTTCTTGGGAGAATGTGAAGAGTAAAGATAATAGAGGGACACCTTGACAGCAGCCCCTGTGCAGTAGGAAAGGCTATAATTGGATAGTGCCTGTCAGAATAGAGGCAGTCGGATGATTGTATAAAGTGAATGAATGAGTGCATGAATTTTGGGGCAAATCCAAAAGTACCCAGAGATGCTCCTTGTGATGTCTGTTGTCCAGAGAAAATGCAGCACAAATATCAGGGTACCAGCTAAATTAATTATATTCAAAAGCCACAGCATGTTATTTGGTGCAAGATGACCCCTTGTAAAGCCTGTTTGATCAAAATTAATCAAATTACCAATATAGGGTTAAATCTGGGAGATTAATGGTTTAGCTAATTTTGAAGTCACTAAAAAGAAATTTAAGAAATTAGGTGATAACTTGAGCAATTTAAAGTGTTCTTCTTGAACAGCAGAGTAATAAGAGCTACATTTTGATCTCCATGGAGATTACCATAATCGATTCTGTAATTCATAGAGTGTACGATTAGGAGTTCTACAGCACCCCAAATGGCAAAATAAAGCTCAAAATAAACATCCCATGAGGACTGGGAGATTTTCCTTTCAGCATTAATTTTGAATGTGTTATGGAGTTCCTTGAGTGCTAAAGACTTTTCCAGAAAACCTGAAAGAAATGCAGAAAAGGTGGAAAGATTCTAATTATTAAAAAAACATCTCTACAAATTTGACTTCAGAGGAATACAGTGAGGGAAAACTAGTATTCAGACACTGTTTTTGCTATTCCTCCAGTTCATATATCCAATTTACATGTCTTTTGACTTTGTACTTATAAATAAGCACAAAAAAGTATACAGTAGTAATCGTAAAAATGACTCAACTATCTGCTTTTTGTTTAATTAACTTTGCATCATACAAAATATATATTATTTGCACCTTTAACGTGTTCCCAATATTCCCAATTAAGTCTATATCTTATAATGTGTTACAACAGAAAAATGTCTGACTCTTCTTCCATTGTTCCCCCAGAAACATTTCAACTGTGATGATAACTTCCTTTCTGTGTTCACTGTGAGTTCTAAAGAATTCACCAAGAAACGTTCAATACTGACACCAGATGAAACAGGTAAAGTGTTAAAAAAGTTCTAAATATCAAATACACTGTCACAAAAAGGGTATTGTACAGGTACATTTTAGTCGCCCAAGGTACAAACAATGTATATGTACCCCTAAAAGTAAATGAAAATTGTCCTTAAGGCCAAATTGTGTACTTTGAATGAGTTTTAATGCTGCATTCACTTGATTGCAAGTCTGGAGTCAGGACAGGGTTTATGGACTCAATGCAACTTGTGATAGAGTATGGTACAGTTATGTCCCATAACTAAAGGTACTGAAAATGTACCCTTGAAGGGTACCACCCCCAATGACAGTTTAGTACCTTTTTTTTTCTTAGAGAGTATGATGAAGTATTTTTAAGAGCCTTTCAGAAATGACATTAATAAAGCATGTTTTGTGATTCATATGCAGAGATACCTAAGCTCAGAGAAGTCCTGATGAAATACAACAATAGCCACACAAATCAGACGACAAGTCAGTACTTCTCTGGAGCACTTGGAATCCTTTCCCTAATTCAAGGTATCAATGCGAGTGACACTGAAATGGTATGTACACACTGTCTTCATTTATGGCATTAATGATACCAACAGTTCTGCTTCAGTCAATACTGTACCATAGGCAACTCTGTATGTTTGTATTCCAAGAAATATAACCTGTATATTTATATATGCACACAGTACAGGTTCACAGTTAAACAGTATACCTCATCATTTCTCATGTGCATGCATCTGGAGATGACTTAAAATGCATTTTGCTCTGTTTGTTTAAAAAATTACTTAATTTTTAAAGTCTGTGGAGTCAGTTTTGTTCTGCCAGTGCTAAGAAGAAGGTATTTTTAGTCAGTTGATTGAGTGACAAGTCTTCTTAGCTATTTAGCGAACACTGATTGCATAATTAGTGCTAGTAGCTGAAAAACTCAAAGGTTTTATAGCTTTGTCTTACAATTAAGTATACCATTACACTTATAGGGAACTTTTTGGTGTCAGATTGTGCTGCGCCAAACTAGAGCACAATTTATTTTTTTTTTTTTTACCATCAAATACATTTCAGAGAAGAAAAAAACTAAGGAAAAACACCAGTGACATTTTTGAGCATGTTCAAGCTTGACTCGGCGCCCCAGATAAATACAGAGAAGCTTAACTATTAGTTTGCGAATCATTTCAATTCATTTACTGTTCTCATCCACCTTAATGGACCTGCTTTTACTTCTAACACACAACAGATAAAACTATGTATAATTTTGTACAAAAGGAACTAAATAAAAGGGTTTGCACATAATCTGTTAAGATGGCTAATATGCATTTTATTTTATGCATTCTCATCTGACTTATGAGCTTCTAGTCTGAAAGTTAGCCGTCAACATTTATGTAACGCTGTGGTGACTGTGGTAAGCACAGCAATACAAGATATAAGCATTTGTGGTGTCTATTTTTAAAAACATTTTATTTCTACATCTTCCAGTAAGTTAAAGTATTTTCCGTCGTTCAGAGAGAACGTCAGTCTGTAGTGCTGGTTCCGCCGCGTTTTCCCCAAATACGTTCGGCAAGTGAGCTGCTTTCAGTCGTTAGGCGCAGTTTTCTCCCTATAACCCGCTCCTCTTCCTCAGCCCCTCAGCCAGCACCTCTCTGCTTCTGTAACATTAGTTTCAGAGGACAGAAAAAAATCCCTGAGTATAGAATCAAATTGATATTTACATACAAAAAGCGTTACTAAACAGTGAACAGCCAATATTTTAAACTGGACTGTCTCTCGTTTTGAAGAGCCATCGTGTTTACACAGCTAGCACGCTAGCTAAGTTAACTAACATTAGCTTCACCTAACGAGTTACAAACACAGCCTGTCAGCTCCCAAATTTCACCACAGGAACAATTTCTAGAGATCTGTAAACACAAATGTGTTAAATAATTTACACAAATACAACAATCAATCCAAACAGTAAAGTCAGAAGTCAAGAAATAACTTACGTTTGTAAACTCCGTGGTCAGCAAAAAAACGTCTGCTTCGTCTGCCTTGTTTATCAAACTGAAGCGATGGAATTCTTGGCCGGTGAACAGTATTGTGGGATTGCCTTCACTGATAAGGATGCATGCGATGGTGCCTTCAGATTTGGTCAAAATAAGGCATCTTAGAAGGCAGCTGACTTATGCTGCCCTCCGAATGGGACAGCCTTCGTCCCAGGCGCGCAAATGCTGCCCTAAAATGCTGCCTACTTAGACAGCTGTCTCCCGATTGGAACGCGGCATTTATTTTTTGATGTGTCAGAGTCTAGCAACGTATTGAAATTTTCAGACTTGGTAAAAGAGAGATAACAATGTTTAACCAGAGTTCCCCAAGAAGGCGACAGAAGAGAGAAGATGACACAAACAGGGAGCCTGGCTAAAGCACAAAGGGAAAACACTTTTTATGAGATCAGCTTATGAATGAAAAAAATTAGCATAGCTTGTTTCAAGTAACTTCGCTGAGCTGAGACAAGTATTGTAAGTATTGTTGTTATCAAGCAAGGACTTTTCTAACAGCGAGAGCATATTTGTGATCAGTGCTACCTCAGCTATTACTTACCAATGGTTACAAACAGCCTACCTGCAGCTCTGGTTTCTGTCAACAGGGTACACAGAAAGTAAACTCCGGTCTGGTTTTGATGTTCAAAAAGTCCAAACTTTTCCAAACTTTGACAACTAATGCATTTATTTATCAGTATCCCATTTTATCAATAGGCTTGCATACTGAAAACACCAAACAAAATGTACAGACTGAAATTATTTTGTAATAACATTTATATTTTAGATGCGAAACAGACTCCATGAGAAATTCGAGAGAAATCTCAACAATGAACTTGAACGCTTGCAAGAATACACTGGCCAAATCTACAGCCAGCTGGACCAACTTCTTTCAAAGGGAGCAGAAGAATCTGAAAAAAATTGTGTTGCAAGTGCAGAAGAGCTAGTAAAACCGGTAAATCATTTTCAGATGTTTTACCTTTAAATTGTATTATTTGTAATAATTTTTTGAACATTTTACTTAATCCTTTTATTATTCAGAAAGGTACGGATGGTCGAGGATTCCACCAATCACTGACAGCGCTGTGCAAGAATGATGGGGCCTACAGGTCTAAGAAGGGAGAAACAGATCTGAATACACACTTGGTCAAACCCATGTTACAGCATGTCGACACACCATTCAATGAATTTTTTCAGTGAGTACAACTCAGTTTATTTCAGCACAATGAATTCAACATGGCGTTAAATACCAAAGCGCTACATGCAGTAAATGTGGTAAGGAAAGAGGCAAAACAGTTTGAGACTGTTAGTTAGTCTGTAGTTAATATAGCAAGTGTGCTTCCTACTTAGTGTAATAGCCAGTCCAGCTGAAAGTTAGGTTTTTAAGTAATGTCATCTTCAGCTTCAAAACTTCAGCCAGATTAACTAACAACTTCAGCTAAATTAGCTATTGTAATTGCTAGCACTCTTGCTATCAAAACTACATGCTAGCCAATAATTCTAAACTGCATCTTTCCTTTAAACACTGCATTTACTGTGTGTAGTGCTTAATTCTGTCTGTCAGACTGAAGGTTTTTCTGTGACCTGAGGTCGAACTTTCTGTCATGACTGTGGCTTATTGATCAGTACAGAGGTTTCTTATTAGAACAATGAGATGCTCTGGTATACTCATTTTCCTGATATTATTCCATGATTTTACATGGTCAACACAGAGAAGGCTTTGCTAGTCAAAACACTTTTAGAATTGTAAAAATGTAACATGAAAAAAAACGTGAAAATGTAAAGCTAAATTCACCAAAATAACATGCACACAGAAACAATCCAGTCAGTTTTGTTTCAGACAGAGTTCTGCATGCTCAGTGAATGAACACAGCAACAGCATGATGTTTCCAACAGCCTGTATTTTTCCCCTTTACATGCTGAAAAAGAATTTTCAAAAAATTCCCCCCATAGAGTGTTTTAAAAAATGTTTTCAGTGACCTAAAACATTGTTTTTGTGTGGACAAGAAGCCAAAATGCAGAGAACAGTGTACGTTTGAGGAACAAAAAATGTGTGTAGACAGGGTCTTAAACATTTTTATGAACAAAATATATCTATATTTTACATTCCCATTTTCCAACCTTAGTCTTTAGAAGCTATTACGTGGTCATCACTGACTTCCTGTTTCTATGTAGGACTTGTAAATAATAACAATTATAATATTATTATTATATGAGGTGAAGATGAGATTCCACAAAAAAGCTAAACCTTAGACAAAGGAGGCTGAAGGATTTTTCTGAAGTTCTGAGTTTCACACCCCTTTATAGATGTTTCCCACCTCATCCAGTTTCATAGGAGGAGACTTGCTGCTGTTGCTACTTTACTAATAACTGTTTATTAAAAAGTGTACTATGTTACTGAGAAAAATGTTTATATTTTATGGAATTTTATAATTAAATATATGGCCAACTTATAGTTAGATTTTTTGATATTTAAACAAGGACACAAAGTTAATGTGTAACGTATAACGTTAATGTAAAGCACCACTACTGTGAAGGCCCGAAAGCTATTTGTGTGCTAATAGCACCCCTTGTAGGGAATTTACAGCCTTTTACATGTGAGTGAGCGTGTGTGTGTGTGTGTGTGTGTGTGTGTGTGTGTGAGTGAAAACTTACTAGTATTTCACCAGACCTCCACTTTCATTGTTATTTGTTTCAGGGTCCAGGAGAATGTAACTGATAAATCAGTGCAAACGAACATCAACAATTTCACCATCATCCCAGAGCACATGATAAAAATATATCAAGATTCTCCAGTGCTAAGTCACCTCCTGAAATTCCTTAAAACTGAGGTGAGTACAATATTTCCTCTAATGATATCCATACATTGAAAAATATGTGGTATTTACCATACCTAACCATACCACACCTTAACTTCACATAGTCTTCTATGATTTCTTGTAAGTTACATCTGGCACTGCCTTACCATTCAGCTTCACTTGGTGTTCAAAAGGGAGTACATTTTGCAGGTATTGATGATATAAATAAGGATGATGATGATGATGATGATGGTGATTATTATTATTATTGTTATTAGTAGTAGTAGTAGTATTTTCACAGTTGTTTTAAGATCATGCTTATCTGCTAAGTAACCCCCTTAACATAATAAATATTTAACGTAATATGACACTGTGTTGCAGAATACCCAAATGACATAGTTCTTCCTCCTCATTATTCTAGTATGTAAATTGTATTTGTGACATCCTGTCTTGCCCTGCCTGGTCTTTCCTTGTTTCTGTCTGAGTCTGCCATTGTGTTACTGTCATTCGTGTGTCTTGCCATGTACTTTTATTATTGTTTAGGTCTGTGTCTCCTCTCCTGTCCTGCCTCCTTGTCATTTGTCCCTTTTGTGTGTAGTCTGTTGCTCCGACCTCTCATTAGCCCCAGGTGTTTCTTGGGAAACCTTTGGTTCTGCCTTCTGTGTTTGGGTTTTGTGGGTATGATGGGGACAAATCTGAATGTGAAAGTTTTATCATGCAATGTGAGACTTTTTTGTTAGAACTATTTTCAGAGGAAAGGCCTTGGAATTGGGTTAACATAGTCCTTGAGAAAAGAAAGGCAGAATCAAGGATACTAGAATTCTTTATTACACTGTTAAAGGACAGATTTTCCAGGTCATCACACAGGACACATCTACCTAAGCCCCCTGCCTCTGTCCCCATCTCAGTAATTGTACCTGTCCCAGTCCTGCTGTCTGTGTTTGTCGAGTCACTTATTCAGCCCTTCGTCCCATCTCCTGTCTTATCCTATGTCAGGTCCTCTGTCCAATGTCCTGTCCGGTCTTGGGTCCAGTCTTCAGTCCAGTCCTTGTTTGGTCTCCATTCACCGTCTGTTCCACTGTCCAATCATGTTCAGTCCCTGCCTCTGGCCTCTTCTCCAAGCCTGCTCCCTTGAGGTGTTCCATTCCGTACCTTGGGAGCTGCGCATTGGAGGGGGGGCTTCTGTAACATCCCATCTTGCCCTGTGTTGCCTTTCCTTGTTTCTGTCTTTGTCTTCCTTTGTTTAACTTTGTTTAATCTCTTAAAATCCCAGGCATATTACAGTCTAAGTCAAATAATTCCTATAATTACACAGAAAATGATTAAATATATATATATATATATACTATACATATATATATATATATATATATATATATATATATAAAGGGTATATATAGGTTTGTTTTTATTCTCTAATGTAAACAGGAAATGAAACTGAAGACAGCGCTTAAACAAGACATTGTTGAGCAAAAAAAGGAAATATACACATCACTTTCTGAATCCATTAAGACCACAATGCTGCCCTGCTATCGGAGTAAGTTGCTGCTTATGATATTTCTTAAGCATTTCATTTTAAATTTAATCTTCACACAGAAAAGTGAACAACACTGTGTTCTATTAGGGGCTGCTACCAAGAGTGGAAAGGGCTCTATGAAGGAGAAGCAGGAAATACTGTTACACCACATAAAATTATCAAAGAGTAAAATGTTCCAGAAAGCAAAGAAAAAGATGCTTGAAGAGCTGCGTACAACACTGGTTTGTATTTGTCCAATTAAAGTAAATTAATAATCACCAATATATAAACAACATGCAGTTTCTAGGCAAATATATTATTAGTGACCATTTTTATGTTCATCTATTTTCTTTGAAAGAATTACACTGTGGAGGAGATAAGAACAGGACTAACAGAGTCGATGGAGTATTCACTTCTTAATACAAGCACCTTGCCTGACATGGGTAAGTTAGGTACAGGTGCAGATTCTTCTCTTGTACTTTTAGTGGTTATTACTGTTGTAAAGACCATATGACCATATGATCAGGATAAAACCTCAGGACACAATCTCGATACAAGAGTGTGAAATCAACACCCCCACCCCCACCCCCCTCCAGTTACACCTCTTCTGTAAGATGGCTGCCAGAACGTTATAAATTTTTTACACACAAAAATGTGCAATTTAGCATTAGCTGCTATATAATACACAGCACAACTGCACAGATTACACAATTACACTGGCTATTTCTGTAACGCTGAACAGGTACAGAAAGACGCTCGCGGATCTTAAAAACGAAAGTTAGTTTAATGAGAGAACACTTGGGAGAAGAGACAGAGTCAGGGCAAATCTAAAATCAGGCAAAACAGTAACAGGCAAAAAGTAAAAAAAACAGAAAATACAAAAACACAAGCAACCAGAGCAAAAGGGCAAATCCAAAAAAGTGATAGTCGAAAAACAGGCAATGGGTTCAGAACACGAGTCACGAAATCAGAAAAGAAACGCTCAGTAAACCCGTAGAGTGGCAATACCTCGCAATGAGGAGAACAAACCAGGATCCTTTTAAAGTCTTAAGCAAACGGGGCAGAGGCCTGTGATTGGCAGAAGGGGTGACATCATGATGATAGGAATTCTGGGAAATGGAGTCCTGGAGCATGTTAGGCAAGGGAGGAGAACCCGGAAGTGTGGCATTTCAATGTATCACTTTATGATAGGACTGTATATTTTTATGTGTATGATACATGTATACATTTTTGTGCTCACATTTAACTGAGGCAAAAACTTGGCTTCATGTATCGAAGCAAGGTATGTTTCCTGATGCAGTTTGGCTGGTCATCTCTGTCTGTGCGCTGGGAGACACATTGGCTTCTCTGTTTCTACAGAGCACTTACTGGCCATATGCCATCGTACATCACAGAAATGCTCAGTGTAAATAATGCATTTACGTTCCACTGATCGGGTCACCTTTCAGGTGCTGAGAGCTTTTACTGAACTGTGAAAATCTGCTTTTATCTACAGTGCGCCAGTGACCTGGAATTCATTACAGGAATCTCTAAAGCTTCGCTCACTGGTGTCACATGAACATTTTAAACTTTAAGTCTCTAACCACCTCCAATCAGCCTGCAACTGTTTTACTTGATTTTAGTTTTAAAGTGATTTTTGGTATGTTTTTAGTTATTGTTTCATTTTTATTATTTTGTTCTTATTTATTTTAATGCAGCCAAGCTACTGTTTTACATCTTTTATTTATATATTCATTTTTTCATTAATTATATTTTTCATCCCTATTTTTATCTTAGATTTAACTTAATAAATAAGTTACTACATTGATATAATGGTTTTTTCATTTTTAATTTACTACTATGATTATTATTACTTTTTAGCATTTGTTGTTTTTACTACTTAAGTTCTACTATTTAAGGCTAGATTGTAAATAAGGGTCTCCCTCAACATACTCCGAGTTTAAATAAAGGTTGATTCATTGATTGTACCATATTGCAAAGTATTTGTACTTGCACTCAAATTGCTGTGAACATATGTTCTGTTTTTTATACCTGTTAAAATTTGTCACAGCTAAAAATGCACACAGAATGTATAGTATATAAATATATTTTCTTAATTTATATATATATAGTGTTTGTTGTATAGTTTTCCTTGAAATGGCCATAGCAATTATTTAATTTCAAGAGAAAAAATATATTGAATGTCATTTCTTTTTGCTTTTTAGATGTTTCCAAGGAAATAGAGATAATGGAAGATTTGAAGGGGTCATCTGCTCAGGTCTGAGATCATTCATCTACAAAGGAAGTGTGAGAATGTTTGGTGGAAATGTAACTCCACTGGTGCTGACTAGCCCGATAATGTTATGTATCAGAGTTCAGCATGTTGTCAGTCACCCACATTAGTCTGCTCTGTAGACCAAATCACACATTAATCTCTTTCACTTTGAGGTCTCTCATCATGAAATTCTGCTGATATTGTCTACTACAGCTTTATCCAAAAAGACTTTAAAATATATTTCTGTGATATGAACATCTATTTCTACACACTCTTTGTTGAAAAAAATGTAACTACTGCCACATATTTAGGTTTTATAGGACAGTTGTTTGAAAATAGCCAGTAGCCAAACCAGGAATTCTCTCTTTATTTGTCTTTTTTATATTACTTTAGTCATTTATATCCTTGTTTGTGGGAGTCTAGTCATTACACTCATTCTAACAATTGGTTGCGTTTAAGTATATGTTCAGATTATTGATCAATTGTTACTGATAAATTCAGGTTATAGCAAGTTATTGATGAAAACTTGCTGTTGATATGCAGATGCTTTGTGAATCACTGTTTAATAAGGATTTTTTTCTTTTACCTGCTATCTATCATGTACACGTCTTATTTACCTGGGATTTATTTGTGAATGAAATAAAGTGCATTCAATCTTTTGAGACTAAATGTATTTTATCTGATGAAGTGGAGAACCAAAGATTCAGGAGTTTGTAGAAGAGCAGGAGTCTCATTATTAAAGATCTAAACCCAAATGGAAAAATGACGAGGCAGAAAAGAAATTGGATCAAGTAAAAAGTATAGACTGTGGATTGTTAAATAAGACACAAGCTGCTTATGAGAACAAATTTTGAAACATTGAACAGATGATTAAATTCTCTGTGTGCAATTTGTGAAGCACAGCCTTAAAAAAGATAGTGCTTCTAGGTTCTTTAGTAAAGAAAACGTTTCTACTTAGAACCAGGAACATTCAAAGAACCTTTTATGTGATTAAAGGGTTCTTTGCATCATTAAAGACTGATGTGCATGAATGTGCTATAGATGGTTCTATATAGAACCTTTTTGAAAAGGGTTCTATTTAGCACCCGAAAGTGTTCTTCTATTGTTACCAGCTTTTCATCGTAACAACTGAAGAACCCTTTTGTGTGTCAAAAAGTTCTATATAGAACCATCTACAGCACATACATAATGATGCAAAGAACCTTTAATCATGACAAAGTTTCTTTAAGTGTTCATGGTTCTATATAGAACTATTTTCTTTACTGAAGAACCTGTGAAGCACCCTGTTTTTTAAGAGTGCAGTTATGTTTGGGCTACCTTGACTGTACATTTCAAATTGTAGAAGCAAAACATTATAAAAAGGTCTCTAGTAGTGATCAGTTACTGATATGAAGCATTAGTTAATTAGGCTACTTGAGAAGCACACAATGAACAGCAGAGGGATCTGATTTGCATTCAGCAACACAATGAAGCAAAACACTGAAAGCCAAGTGCAAAAGTTTTTTTTTTCATAATCAGATATTTGCACGTTTTTCTTTGTTAACTAAATGGGAACAAACTGGTGCAGTCATAAAACTTTATTCTTCAAGTGCTTTAGATAGTCATACTGACACATCACTCGCAATCAGCAGTCAGTGGAGCTAAATGGAACCTAAATGACAGATGAAAAACTATAATAGAACTACAGACTGTAATAGACTTATTTTAGAATTCATTTAACTTATGTATTCACAAAGCTCAACCTAATACACTGTGTAACACACTGGCACAGTAACTATTTACTGAGATGACAAGACTCAGACAGACACCCTGAACTATGTGCAGAGAAGACCCCAGGTAATGATTAAGTAGCCTTTATGATCATTACTAAGAAGCTACTTAGTCATTTTACAAATCTTTTCCTAAAATCATTTCCTAAAACAATCCTTTATCCTAAAATTCTTAATAGATCATTAAGTTTACCATCACAAACTCTACTGCTGGTTATTTTTAAAAGTGCTAATAATTTGATTTTACACAATAGTGGTCATTAATCAAAGAAGTGGCATTCACTGATCACTAAACAATCTTTAAAGGCATAAGATATTTTAACACTAAGGTTTAAACTAAGGATCTTAATGACGAAGTGGTGAATGGTAGTTGAGCATTGTTCTACAGTAACTGTGTAACTATGTTTGTTTACCACATCCGGTTCTGTGTTTGTTGTCATTTTTACACATACTGTCAAGCAGTACGAGCTGTAATCCATATTATTGAAACATAATGATAATTACATTATTAGTAGTAGTACTAGTAGTAGTAGTATTAGCCTTTCCCACACTGTATTCCCTGATAGTATTGTAGACTCATTAAAAT